TAGGTACCACCTATGTGTGGGGAGGCTATTTTAATTAATTTACAAAGCCATAAAAAAGACTCCAGCAAAGCACTTCAGCAAAAGCATGCGGGGAATGCGGAAGTACTTCATCAGTGTCACAGATGGACGATGAAAGCGACAGGTCCCCTGGCGGCCAGAAAAGTTAAATAGCCTCTGACTGTCTGTCTGTATCTGTGTCTTTGGCATTGAATGTTTCCCATATATGTGTGCATTGTAATCCGCCCTGAGTCCCCTACGGGATGAGAAGGGCGGAATATAATACTGTAAATAAATAAATAAATAAATAAATAATCTGCGCCAACTTTCCTTTGCCTTCTCACATTGTGAGCCTTCCTGGCAGGTACTTGGTGACGGAGGGACAGATCTTCATCCTCTTCATCTTCACCTTCTTTGCCCTGATGGCCCTGGTGATGCACCAGAAGCGCAAAGGCCTGCTCATGGACAGCAATGGCCGCTTTCTCTTCTACTCCTTCATCATCACCCTGGTCCTGATTGCCCTCTGGGTCGGCTGGCTCTGGAACGACAGGATCCTCCGGAAGAAGTACCCGGGCGTCATCTACGTCCCAGAACCCTGGGCTTTCTACACCTTGCACATGAGCAGTTTGCATCCTGCAAAGGCAGGGAACGTCTGATGTACCTTATTTGACCAAATCTAATGCTCATCTCTTTTTTCGGGGGGTTAAAAGACCTGGCCAAAATGAGAGTGTGCATTAGATTTGCGTCATACGGTCATCTTAGTGCTGAGCCAAAGCCAAAGGGGAAGCTCCTCTTTAAGGGACCTCATCTCTCATCTAATTGCACTGACTCGATGCTGTGGGTTGCTGGGATTTGTAGTTTAGTGAGGCATCCGCATTCTTTGGCAGAGAAGTCTCAAGACCTTGTCAAACTACAACTCCCATGACTATAGCATTGAATTAAGGCAGTTAAGGTGGATTCATTCTACAGCATAGATGCACCCTAAGGTTTTCTTTTCCATTGCTGGAAACTTTGATGTCCTAATACTTTGGTTTTTAAAGAAGGCATCCAAACAGCCGGCCAGTGTAATGCAGTGCAAACCTGGATAGGAATGAAGGAGTTGCTGGCAGTGAGGTTTGCTGGCAGAACCTTCTCTTGCCAAAGGCTCTTAAGCCACTTCCAAATGGAGCCATCTGCTCTGCTGGCAGCAGAACCCACTGGCAGGAGGCTAAGCCAAAGTCAAAGGGACCAAACCTCATTCAGGCTGCAAACATGGGCAGAAATCCAGGCGAGAGCAAGATGAATTGTGCGTCACTTCTCTAATTCTAGAACAGTGTTTCACAACCTTCCTAATGCCACAACCCCTCAATACAATTCCTCATGTTGTGGTGACCCCCAACCATAAAATTATTTTCATTGCTACTTCATAAATGTCATTTTGTAATGTAAATATCTGAGATGCAGGATGTATTTTCATTCACTGGACCAAATTTGGCACAAATACCCAATACGTCCAAATATGAATACTGGTGGAGTTGAGGGGGGTTGATTTTGTCATTTGGGAATTTATAGTTGCTGGGATTTATAGTTCACCTACAATCAAGAAGCATTCTGAACTCCACCAATGATGGAATTGACACACAGAACTTCCATAACCAACAGAAAATACTGGTGGACATTGACCTTGAGTTTTGAAATTGTAGTTCACCTACATCCAGACTCAAACAATGATGGATCAGGACCAAACTTGGCACAAATCCTCAATATGCCCGAATGTGAACACTGGTGGAGTTTGAGAGAAAATAGACTTTGACATTTGGGAGTTGTGATTGCTGGGATTTATAGTTCACCTACAATCAAAGAGCATTCTGAACTCCAGCAATGATAGAATTAGGTCAAACTTCCCACACAGAAACCCCATGTTGTGAACCTCCCTCCAGCCTCACACACTCTCCCTTGCCTGCGCATGCGCATCATGCTGCCATGCGCTGAGCATATCTGCTCTCCCTGCTTGGAGTCTCAAAAACAGCCCTCTCCTTGGCTGAGAGTTTGCTGAGAGTCTGGCCAGTCACAGCAGAGGAGGGCTTTTGATGGGAGGATCCATCCTGTGTGCCCCAAAGGTATGGGAAGTATGGTTATGGGGCTATTTTTGGAGGCTTTGAGACGTCCTCGTTGCTCAGAGCTGCTTGGGCTCAGATGTGTGCTTTTATTGTATGTTTGTGGATGTCTTTAGTAGAGTTGCCAGGTTGAATATGGGGCAGGGCTCTATAGTGTTTAGAGCCCTGGAAAAGATAGATAAGCATAAACCAGCATGTCTGGAATCAGAACATTGAAGGAAGACATCCATGTTTTTATGATAGAACCAATTAGGAAATGACACTGATAACCCAGGTTATTTTGGGGTGCTGTGAAAAGTGACTTATGGTGATGAGGGAAGAGATGTGTAGTCAAACCTTCTGGAACTTCATACTATGTCTTCCAAAATTGGTTAACTCTGTGTCACTATGAAAAGGGTGAGGACATTGCTTCCCCCCTCCCTCCAAATTAGAGTAATATTCCTTCAGCCTTCTCTGCCAAAGGGATTTCTAAGACCATCAGAAATATATGTTTTTCTGGTGGTCTTTGGTAACCCTTCTGAAACCCCCTTGCAACCCCTCAAGGGGTCCAGATCCCCAGGTTGAGAAATACTGTTCTAGAAGAAGTGCGATTAAGCCCTGTCGAACCTTAAATAATTTCTGGCAGAATTGAAAATACAAATGGCCACCTTCTCTATGGGTCATCAAAGTCTGTTCGAATCCCTGAAGAAAATGCCAGCCTCCGCATGTCCACTCTCTTCCCCTTTCTCTTCCTTTTGCGCCGGGAAATTAAAACTATGCAAATACCATTTTGGAGAGTTCAGCGTCGCCTGCGTCTCTCCTCGAAGCCCTTCTGCAGAAAGGACTCTTCAAAGCTGCCTTCCCCAACTTGAAAAAGCCCCCTGGTTTGTTATGGACTACAACTCCCATTGTCCCTGGCTGAGGATGATGGACATTTTAGTTAAGGACGCTTGGTCTGCTGGAACGTGTTTGGGGCGATCGTCAAAGCATTCTGTGATCATTTGGCAAGAGAAAGATTCAAGTCCAGAGAGATGGCATAGGTGCTCAAATAATATGCAAAGGGATCTTCTATTACCTTTGGAGTTCAACCGAGACAAAGATGTTGGCAGCATAAGCTTTCCTAGACTTAATAGACTTTCTCAGATGCAGCCTGTTGCCAACGTCTTTCTCTTTGTTAACCCAAGAAGATCTATTCCAGAATGAAAACGGCACTGGAACGAGCTCTTCCTCCCTACGGCATGCTTTCTCCTTTCTGATGCAGTTTCTATGCTTTCCCTCTTTCCCTTCCCTTGAATACTCAGGTAGAGAACATTCATTTTAAGGGAGGTGCAGGATTATATTTCTTGAACTCAAGTAGATCCAGTTGTCTCCTTTTTCGGAGGATTTTGCAATTCCTCAACTGAATCCTTTTTCACTCATCACTTTCCTTGTGTTGTGTACACATCTTGAGTGTAATACAAATCAAGTGTCTGTTGAAAAATCCATCAGCAGAAGAAATAAACATTTACTACAGTTTATGCATGTGGATTTTCCCCTTTTTCAAAAAGCTAGAATCCCTTTGTTGTCTTTACACATATGGAAAGCAGTTGGACATTTGGGCAGGTTGAACTGCCATATTTGATGCAAGGCTGTAGAAGCAGAATTGGGCATGCAGCATCAAGATAAATGGATGCATGAAGCTCAGGAGTATATTATTATGATACATTAATATTTTATTATTATTATTATTCTATTATATGAATAATACATATTATTAAGCCAAAGGGTATATAATTATTGTACATTAATATTCTATTATTATTATTATTATTATTATTATTATTCTATATATGAATAATATAATTCATATTATTAAGCCCAAATATATATTATTATGGTACATTAATATTCTATTATTATTATTATACTATTTCTCAAATAGCTCCTGACACAACAAAAAAAATCTATTATTTGAATAATATAATTCATATTATTAAACACATGGATATATTATTATGGTACATTAATATTCTATTATTACAATTATTATTCTATTATATGAATAATACAATTCATATTATTAAACCCATGGATATATTATTATGGTACATTAATATTCTATTATTATCATTCTATTATATGGCATATTATTGTTATCATTGTATTATCATCTAACAGGAAAAGCACAATCAAAGCACTCCCAACAGATGGCCATCTAACCTGATAAACAAGTACACAAACATTAAAACAGAATGAAATATAAGCAGTATTTTAAAATTCAGTTAAAATCCATTAAAACATTTTCAAAGTTTAAAAGCATAGCACCTATTATTATTATTATTATTATTATTATTATTATTATTATTATTATTAGAAACATAACAAGATTAGCACACAGCAAACAAGATCACTATGCTAGCTGTTGTACTGGATCACATGTTGGACACTTCCAACATGTGATTTGTGTGATGTATCGGCGAATACATTGGTGAATAATGAATACAGTTCTGAGTAGGGTGGCCTTTTGCAGCTGACAAGTGGTGATTTTGGCAGCGCCTATTGTGTTTAAGTGCAGGCCGATCACCACTGGGACCCCCTTGACTGGCTTGTGCCAGGGTCTTTGCATTTCAATCTTTAAATCCTTGTATCATGTCAACTTTTCCAGTTGTTTCTCTTCAATCCTGCTGTCATCTGGGATTGCAGCATCAACAATCCATACTATATTTATTATTTGAAACACAACAAGATGATTCCACAGCAGACAAGATCACTCTTCTGGCTGTTGTATTGGATCATGTGTCAGACACTTCCCAAGAGCCTAGGACTGTGTGATGTATCTGCGAATCATGCGTGCAGATCCCAGTAAAGTGGCCTTCTGCAGCTGTCAGATGGTGATTTTGTCAGCATCGATTATATTTAAGTGCAGGCCAAGGTCTTTAGGCACTGCACCCAGTGTGCTGATCACCACTGGGACCTCCTTTACTGGCTTGTGCCAATCTTTGCAGTTCAAAGACTGCAAATTATTATTATTATTATTATTATTATTATTATTATTATTATTATTGACACAGAAACACAGTATGTCACAGCAAATGAGATCTATATGCTGGATTTCGTATCAAAAAATCACAAGTCAAACACTTTCCAAGCATCTAGGACTGTGTGATGTATTTCCAAATGATGCGCGCAGATCCAAGTAAGTTGGCCTTTTGCAGTTGACAGATAATTTTGTCAATGTTTATTGTTTCCAAATGCCGGCTGAGATCTTTTGGCACGGCACACAGTGCGCCAGTGACCACTGGGACCACCTGTACTGGCTTATGCCAGAGCCTTTGCAGTTTGATTTTGAGGTCTTGATAGCGGCTGAGTTTTTCCTGTTGTTTTTCCTCAATGAAACTGTCACCTGGAATGGTGACATCAATAATCCAAACTTTTTTCTTTTCCACAACCGTGATGTCTTCCTTTCACAGTCTGCATTATTATTATTATTATTATTATTATTATTATTATTATTATTTTACTGACACACAAACACAGTATGCCACAGCAAACAAGATCTATATGTATTGTTTAAGGCTTTCATGGCCGGAATCACTGGGTTGTTGTAGGTTTTTTTGGGCTATATGGCCATGTTCTAAAGGCATTCTCTCCTGACGTTTTGCCTGCATCTATGGTAAGCATCCTCAGAGGATGCTTGCCATAGATGCAGGCGAAACGTCAAGAGAGAATGCCTCTAGAACATGGCCATATAGCCCAAAAAAAACCTACAACAACCCAGAGAACTATATGCTGGATTTCATATCACAAAATCACAAGTTGAACACTTCCCAAGCATCTAGGACTGTGTGATTTATTGTTGTTGTTGTTGTTGTTATTGTTGTTATTGTTATTATTATATCTGTCGTGCTGAAAATATATTTTCTGGCTCATGCCTGCTCCAGAAGGGGAAAAAGGTTGAAATCTCATGGAGGCCTAGCATTTCTCCTGGAGCCAAAAATCCATTAAAAATGGACCGCTTTTCAGACCCATCCATGCATCTCTCTGTGCGCTTGACCAGTCGATACACAGTTCACCGCTGAGTGACCCCAGGGCTCCCTCTGGAAACAATCGCCTTACGCCTTAGCGGATGGGTGCGACTAGTTGGTATTTAAACCCAGCATGAGATGCCTTGCAAGCCATGTGGGATTATGGCCAAGCCCCCCAACGGTGCCCCTGCTGCTGCTATTTGGAGCATGACAAGACAGCAAAGGCTGCGGCAGTGATGCATACTGCGTTGTCTTATTGTTGCACCAAGCGAAGCCATGGAACGGACGGCTAAAACCAGGCCTAGCTTAGCAACCGGTGCCTCTGCCGAAACCCAAGAACCTGAGTCTTGTGTTACACCTGCTGTTGTTACCGGCTGCACTTTGTCGGACTTTAGACTCCGATCTCAGAGGAAGAACGACTGGGAAGCAGACTGCAGAGGGGAGGATAAAGCCCAGCAAATGGTGAATGGAGCAAAAACCCTTTGCTTTTTTCCTCTTTCTATGGCTTGTTGCTGTTTTACTGATTCTCTCTGCAAGAACTAGGTCTTCTTTTGATGCACTTTCTGCTTTTGTGTCCTTTGCAGGCCAAATTTCTCTCTCAGGACCAAATCCATGGTAAGCATCTTTTCGGACAAGCAAACGGATCGTTGGAAAGAGGTTTGGTCTCTCTACCTTTCCTTTATGGCATGCTTCAATGTTTTGGAAAGATATACCGTTGGGTAATGTATTTGAAAGAACCTCCAGAAGCCATTGATGCATATAAACCAAGCATGGGCAGACTTCGCCCCTCCAGGTGTTTTTGACTTCAACTCCCACAATTCCTAACAGCTTACCGGCTGTTAGGAATTGTGGGAGTTGAAGTCCAAAACACCTGGAGGGCCGAAGTTTTCCAATGCCTGGTATAAACTCAAAAGTCTGATATTCCGAGCATGTCAAAAATAGTGCACTAACAATGCTTCCTGGTTCTTTTCTTCTTTCTTTTTCGTATGGAAACGGCACAGTACTATACACGAGTCGGGTTCGTTTTCAATTTGCTGAACCATTTTTGTTTGTAAAGCAGAATGAGTTTGCGAAATGCTAATTTGATCGAAGGAAGGAAGGAAGGAAGGAAGGAAGGAAGGAAGGAAGGAAGGAAGGAAGGAAGGAAGGAAGGAAGGAAGACAAGCAAACTGGACATTACCTTAATGTACTACGGTGAATCCAGGCAATGTGCATAAATAAATTCTATGTTTAGACTTGGGTCCCTATCTATCTATCTATCTATCTATCTATCTATCTATCTATCTATCTATCTATCTATCTATCGTGTCAGAAGTGACTTGAGGATACAGTTAATAATGTATTTTCTAAAAACACAAAAGTTAAACACTTGGCATATGCTACATTTTCTATGAGCAGAAGCTGGCCACTTGGAGTGCCTCTGGTGTCGCTGTAAGAACGTCCTCCCTGTGCATGTGGCAGAGCTCAGGTTGCATTGTAGTAAGTGGCCTGTGGTTTGCTCACGTCCACACTCGCATGTCACAGACTCCACTTTGTGGCCCCATTTCATAAAGTTGGCTCTTCATGTTGTGGTGCCAGAGCGCAGCTTGTTCAGCGTCTTCCAAGTTGCCCAGTCTTTTGTGTGCCCAGGGGGGAGTCTCTCATCTGGTCTCAGCCACTGATTTAAGTTCTGGGTTTTCGCCTGCCACTTTTGGACTCTTGCTTGCTGAGGTGTTCCTGCGAGTATGTCTGTAGATCTTTGAAAGCTATTTCTTGATTTAAGGTATCGGCGTGCTGGCTGATATCTGAACAGGGGATGGGCCAGAGAGGATGATGATGATGATGATCATCATCATCATCATCATCATAGAATCATAGAGTTGGAAGAGACCTCATGGGCCATCATCATCATCATCATAGAATCAGAGTTGGAAGAGACCTCATGGGCCATCCAGTCCAACCCCCTGCCCAGAAGCAGGAAAATTGCATTCAAAGCAACTCTGACAGATGGCCATCCAGTCTCTGTTTAAAAGCTTCCAAAGAAGGAGCTGCCACCACACTCCGGGGCAGAGAGTTCCGCTGCTGAACAACTCTCACAGGAAGTTCTTCCTAATGTTCAGATGGAATCTCCTTTCTTTTAGTTTGATTTTATTTATACCCTGCCATCATCTCCTCAAAGGGGACTCGGGGCAGCTCACGGGAGGCCATGTCCAAAAGTACAATACAGCAAAATAAAATACAAGACATCAAAAAAATACATCACAATAAAATACATAATGAACAAAATAAAATAAACAATGCAAAATAACATAATAGAAAGTCAAAAACGATGGGCGGGCCAAATGCACAAAGTAAAATAAAACGCCAGATGAGATAGGAGTGGAAAAAAGTGTATTTGTGAGGGAGGAGCCCAAAAAGACAAACAATGGGGTTGAGTCTTCGTTAAGGACGGGGGAAAGTGCATCATGAGGACAACACTGTAGATGGGACAAACAAAAAATGGATTTATGGTCACTCTCCAAAGGCACATCAGAAAAGCCAAGTTTTCAAAACTTTCTTAAAGGCTGCTAGGGTCACTGCCTTGGTCCTCTCATTACTGGCTGTTACTTCCTGGCAGATGTCAGGTGTTGCAATACCTGCTGAACAGTAATTTCTCCAGTGGTTTTGGGCGTACACATCCTGTGATAATGCAGCATGTCTCATTAAGAGCCATATCCACTGCTTTAACATGGTGAGATGTGTTCCACACTGGGCATGCGTACTCAGCAGCAGAGCAGCAAAGCACAAGAGTAGATGTCTTCACTGTGTCTGGTTGTGATCCCCAGGTTGTGCCAGTCAGCTTTCGTATTATATTATTTCTAGCTCCCACTTTTTGATTGATATTCAAGCAGTGCTTCTTGTAGGTCAGAGAACAGTCCAGGGTGACTCCCAGGTATTTGGGTGCGCTGCAATGCTCCAGTGGGATTCCTTCCCAGGAAATCCTCAAAGCTTGAGATGCTTGTCTGTTCTTAAGGTGAAAGCACATGTCTGTATTTTAGATGGATTAGGAATCAGCTGGTTTCCCCTGTAATAGGCAGCAAGAACACGTAAAGTTTTCTCCATGGTATTACTGATGTCTATGCAAATACAGGCATTCCTAAATCTAGGGGGTGGGGTGGGGGGATGTCAAACACTTGTGTTTCCAAGCATTTTGTGTAAAGGTGACTTAAGTCATATTTGGAAAACAGGGATTTGAAGGTGTCCCTGAAGTGCACCGTGACATCCGTTTCACACTGTTTTAATTGCCATGTATCCTAAGCGATCCTGGGATCTCCACTGAAGCTTTATCTCTAATCCTTTGTTCTTGTTCTGACTTAACAAATAAATTCAACTAAAGCCCAAACCTACAGAACCAATCTTGTTCTGTAACTTGGGGACTGCCTGTACTTACTCGAGAGGCATTCATCCGCCACACTGGGCTTCTTGTTTCTCTGTATTTTCCTCCTTTATTTAGAATTCAAGGAATGTTTTTCCCTGTATGATAAGAAGCATAAGGGGAAGATCAAGGCCAGCGACCTCATGACAGTGATGCGGAGCCTGGGGGCCAGCCCCATCCCGGGTGAAGTGGCCAGGCACCTCCAACAGCACAAGATCGGTAGGATGCAGGGGAGATCAAGTGCATGGGTTCATAGGTGCTATCCTCCAGAGATCCTTTACACTAAGCATGGGCAAACTTCAGTCATCCCTCCAGTTGTTTTGGACTGGAGCCAATAGTCCAAAACTGGGAAATTGTTGTTTTGTTCCATGTTTGATGTTTTGTCTTATGTCTGTTATAACAGGCTGTGTTTTTATTTAATTTTAGTTGTTAAGTCATAATTCATGTTGATATAAATAAAGTTTTGTTATTTTTTTAATTATTATTATACCTACTTACACCGAAGACGGAAAAGGGGGCAGGAAAGGAGCAATACATCAAATTGATCCCCAATGAGAAAGAGAGAAAACCCTACCTCCACTCTAGAGATGCACACATACAAACACACACACACACACATATATATAAATACACATATACACACACACCCTAGAAGGGGGAAGAATTCAATTGGTAGGTTAATATTTAATTACATTGAAGTGGCCTGCATTACAGTTTCTATTCACGATGCAACATGAGTTTGGGAAATTCCCAATGTGAATTTGGGATTGGAAATAGCACTAGCCCACATACATTTTGGTGGCTCACACGTAAAATCTGTTCCTGGGTATATTTGTGTTTTCTTTTATTTTGTGTGTGTTTTAACAAAAATACATTTTAATACGTATATTTATAGAATGTTTACATTGTGTATTTATTTTAATTATGCTGTAACCTGCCTCGAGCATAATAATAATAATAATAATAATAATAATAATAATAATAATAAAGCTGACATGATATGAGGATGTAAAGATCGAACTGCGAAGACTCTGGCACAAGCCAGTAAACGTGGTCCCAGTGGTGATCGGCACACTGGGTGCCGTGCCTAAAGACCTTGGCCTGCACTAAAACACAATCAGCGATGACAAAATTACCATCTGCAAAGGTGGCACCCAGTAAGGTGGCAAAAGGCCACCTTACTGGGATCTGCATGCATTATTCACCGATATATCACATAGTCCTAGACCAGTGATGGGCAACCTTTTGAGCTTGGTGTGTCAAAATTCGCCAAAAAACCAAGCATAATTCAGGTGGGGTGCCACTTTGAGAAAAAAAACCCCATAATTTTGCGATATTTACTTTAAATAACAAAAATGCATAATTGTAATATATAAATTACAATTTATTTAATAATCCAAAAATTAATTATTTAACTGCTTAGTGACATCTTTGTTCATCCTTCAGTCGGTTTCTTTTGTTGGTCTTGATATTATTTAACACACACCCTTTAAAAATTGGATACAAGAAGCTAAACCAGAAGACGAACATTGGAGGAAAAAACTAGATAGAATGCAATGAAGGCTCGAATAAATGAAGAAGGACCATCTTGTCAATGGGGGGAGGGGGGAGGATTAGGGGTGGAAGAAAAAATGTATTGAAACTAAAGCAATGTAAAGATAAATGTAAAAAAATATTGTTTAACACTGAGAATAAGATGTCACAAAAATTGTGAGAAGCCACTGAAATCCACAAGCATGTGGACAATTTCAACAAAAAGGAGGAAACCATGAAAATGAGCATAACCTGGCTAGCAATATTTAAAAAACTCTAAAATCAGGACAGTAAAGAAAGAGCAACACTCAGAAAACAGAGGGATTCCAGACAAGAATCAGTCAGGCCCAGCTAACACCTCCCAACAAAGGATTCCCCTGAGCAGGAAGGAGCCAGATTTTGAAGCTGCAAGGCCATTTAGTGCTAATCAAAGTGGCCAATTGCAACATTCACACTTGCCTCTAACAGATTTCTCCCACCCTGGACGTTATTCCACAGGGATATAAACCCCACTTGCCTAGTTTCCAACAAACCTCTGAGGATGCTGCCATAAGATGTGAGCAAAACGTCAGGAGAGAATGCTCCTGGAACATGGCCAGACAGCTCGGAAAACTCACAGCAACCCTGGACGTTATTCCACAGGGATATAAACCCCACTTGCCTAGTTTCCAACAAACCTCTGAGGATGCTGCCATAAGATGTGAGCAAAACGTCAGGAGAGAATGCTCCTGGAACATGGCCAGACAGCTCGGAAAACTCACAGCAACCCAATGTGTGTAAAGCTTTGGTTGATGTCTTTTAATATAGGCATTTGATTACTTGTAATTATGTGTTTTAGCTATGTTGCACCCCACCCTGAGCAGAGAGGCAGATAAGAACAGGAATAGACGGTCAGAAGGATGTTGGGATGGGAGGAGAGATCTAAAAACTACAGTGAAAATACCAGGATCACAGGATGGAGGAAAGGAAGGGTGGGGTGAATAGGAAGGAGGAGGAGGAGAGAGAGAGAGAAAGAAAGGGAAAATCTGGAAAAGTGAGGAAGAGAGGAGGGAATGCAGGATGGGGCCAGCGGCCCCCCCCCCCCCCAACTTGGCCCTCCTGCCTCAGGAAAGTTTGACTAGCTGCCAGCCCAGCCTGAGACAGAAGCAGCAGCGCCGGATGGGTTTAGCTGAGGAGGAGGAAAAAAAGACCCCAACCACCAAGGTGCGCCTGTGTGTGCGCGCGCCGGGCAGAGACAGCCCTCGCCTCCCTTCACCAAAAGCTGCCAGGTCAAAGGCGCAGCCGGGTGATTGGCAGGCGAGGGGCGGGGCCGGAGGATCCTTTCTCCCGCGAGCGCTCCTTAAAGAGACAGCACACCTTTTTTCCTCTCTCCCTCTCTTTCTACCGTTTGGAGGAGCGAGCAAGCAAGCAACCAGCCAGGGGCGTGCCCTTCGGGATTTGGCGCTATGTGGCTGCGTGTCATTGAAAATGGCTATGCGTGTCAGTGCTGACACGCGTGTCATAGGTTCGCCATCACGGTCCTAGACACTTGGGAAGTGTCCGACGTTTGATCCAATACAACAGTCAGCAAAGTGATCTTGTCTGCTGTGGGCTCATCTTGTTGTGTTTCAAATAATAATAATAATAATAATAATAATTATTATTATTATTATTATTATTATTATTATTATTATTTATACCCCGCTTTGTCTCCCCAAAGGGAACTCAACGCAGCTTGACATAAAAGCATTAGTATACAATTTAAAAAATACAAATATGCCACTATTAAAAAAGAATTAAACACCAACGGCACTAAAACATTCATAGTCTAAATCTATCAAAACATATTCAAAGTTAAAAACCACCGTAAGAAATAAAATAATAATAATAATAATAATTATTATTATTATTATTATTATGACCTGCAGATTCCAAAACTGGCATCCTGTTTTCGCCATCAGCTCTAGTTTTTGAGATACAGAGCATATGCAATCTATTGCTACTATCATCATATCTAAGACACCAAAGCAGATATGGTCTATCCAATGCCGTTTTCTGAATCAGCATCCCAAAGAAACCCGGGAGCAGGCCTCAAAATAAAACCACAAGAGAAAATATGTTGTTGTTGTTGTACTGTGTAATCTAACCCCACAGCAGGGCTCTTTTGGGAAATCTGGTCCATTGGGTATCCAACCCATTTGTTCCCCTCCTCTGTGTTTGTAGATAGCCGCGGAGAACTGGACTTTTCAACTTTCCTGAGCATAATGTACAAGCAAATGCAACAGGAAGACCCCAAGAAGGAGATCCTGGTGGCTTTCTTGATGACCGACATGCAGAAGACCGGCTTCATCACTGTGGCAGAGCTGAGGGCCAAGCTGATGAACCTGGGAGAAAGGCTCTCTAGGGAAGAAGGTAGGTGATCAATGTCTTTATTAATGACTTAGATGAAGGGTGAGAAGGCAGGATCATCAAACTTGCAGACGACACCAAATTGGGAGGAAGAGCCAATACCCTAGAAGACAGGAGCAGAATTCAAAATTATCTTAACAGATTAGAGAGATGATGGGTCAAAACTCACAAAATGAAGTTCAGCAGGGACAAATGCAGGATACTCCACTTAGGCAGAAAAATGAAATTCAAAGAGACAGAATGGGGGACAATGCCTGGCTCAGCAGCAGGACGTGTGAAAAAGATCTTGGAGTCCTCATGGGGAGGAAGAGGAACATGAGCCAACAATGTCATGCAGCAGCTAAAAAGCCAATGGGATTTTGGCCTTCATAAATAGAAATTTAGTGCCTATATCCAGGGAAGTCATGCTATTCTGTCTTGGTCAGACCACACCTGGAATCACACTGCAATTGAAGGGAGATGTTGACTCTATGCTGGAATGTGTCTAAAGGAGGGCGACTCAAAGATGAAGGATCTGGAGAACAAGCCCTATGAGGAGTGGCTTAAAGAGCTGAGCATGTTTAGCCTGCAGAAGAGAAGACTGAGAGGAGACAGGAGAAGAGGAGGCCAGGAAGGCAGTTCCCTCTTGCCTCCAGTGTCATCAGTTGGGAGGCCCCCTCCCCCTCCAGCACCAATTGCTGCTCTGAGATCAGAATGAAGGGAGGGGCCAGGAAGGTAGTTCCATCTTGTCTCCTGCACTGTGCTTTTAATATAACACAATATAATATCTATATAAAAATGCTCTGTGCACAATGAGTACCTTAAAAACAAAAGAACCAATGAACGAAATCATACCAAATTTGGCAACAAAATGTTTCACAACACAAGACCATCACTCAAAAATTTATGATTTTGTCTTTTGGAAGTTGTAGTTGCTGTAATTTATAGTTTACCTACAATCAAAGAGCATTTTGAACTATTATCAATGATGAAATTGAACCAAACTTGGTACACAGGACTCCCCTGACCAACAGAAAATACTGGAAGGGCTTGGTGGGCATTGACCTTAAGTTTGGGAGTTGTAGTTCACCTACATCCAGAGAGCACTGTGGACTCAAACATTGATGGATCTGGACCAAATTTGGCACAAGCACTCAATACACCCAAATACGAACAAAGATGGAGTTTGGGGGAAATAGACCTTGACATTTGGGATGGGAAGCTGGAGCTGACAGACATGAGCTCACCCTACTCCCTAGATTTGAACCACTGACCTTTTGGTCAGTAGTCCTGCCGGCACAAGGGTGTAACCCATTGTGCCACCGAGGACTCCAGCCATATCTGGTCCTCAATGTCATTTTATGCGATCCTCCTCCAGATGCTGGACTATAATTCCTGTATTCCCCCTTGTTAGACAGCAAGACTAGAGCTGATGGGAGTCAGAAAACAGTCACATCTAGAAGGCTAGATTTTGCTTCTAGTCAGGAGAGTGTGGTTTGGACTGAGATACAAGACTTGCGGATATGATGCCTAACATCAAAATACCATTTGTTCATTCCCCAACCTCAGAGCCACAAGCCCTATGAGGAGTGGCTTAAAGAGCTGGACATGTTTAGCCTGAAGAAGAAAAGGCTGAGAGGAGACATGATAGCCATGTATAAATATGTGAGAGGAAGTTACAGGGAGGAGGGAGTGAACTTGTTTTCTGCTTCCCTGGAGACTAGGATGCGGAACAATGGCTTCAAACTACAAGAAAGGCGATTCCATCTGAACATTAGGAAGAACTTCCTGACTGTGAGAGCTGTTCAGCAGTGGAACTCTTTTGCCCCAGAGTGTAGTAGACGCTCCTTCTTTGGAAGCTTTTAAACAGAGGCTGGATTGGCCGTCTGTCGGGGATGCTTTGAATGCAATTTTCCTGCTTCTTGGCAGGGGGTTGGACTGGATGGCCCATGAGGTCTCTTCCAACTCTATGATTCTATGATCTACAAGGGCTGTTTGGTTGCAATTCCCATTCATCCCCAGTCTGCATGGTGGATCATCAAAGGGATGGAAATTGTCATGCTAGTAAGATGTGGGTGAAAACCAAAGAGCACCAAGCACTACGTAAGAAAATTAGTTAGCCTTCTGTATCCATGGATTCTCCGCCCATAGATTCAATGGTGATTTGAAGTCACAGAATCATAGTTGAACTGTGGGCCATCCAGTTCAAACCCATTCTGCAAAGAAGCAGGAAAATCACATTCAAAGCACCCCCATTAAGATGCACATCCAGCCTCTGTTTCAAAGCCTCCAAAGAAGGAGCCTCAACCACACTCTGGGGCAGAGAGTTCCACTGCTGAACAGCTCTCACAGTTGCTGGAGAGTTTGGGCATTTCATACTCTCTCAGAAGGAGGTCACAACAAACCTATCTGATGAACCCCTGCCAAGAAAATCCCATTAGGCTCAGAGTAAGTTAGGAATGACTGTGCTCAACAACCTCTTTGTTAAAATTTTCAAATTGTAATGACTTACAGTGGACAACCTCTTGAAGGACACCAAAGTGGGACACAACGGGATCGTGAAGTACGAAGACTTGGTCCGTTCCATCACACTTCCAGTGGTTGACTACTGAACCATGACTTGAACCGGACTGCTAGCTGGACTGGAGGCTTGCAGACTGTCCCTTTGACGCCTCTGCTACTGGTTTGCCTTACAAAATAAAGCTATTTGCCTTGTAGATAAAGATGAATACTGAGTACCTTTTTGAAACTACTAGAACACTTGCGTGTTGTACTAGGGGTGTAAAATGCCTTGAAGTGGGTTCACACAATTTCATACAGCAATGACTTTGACTTAGGCGATCCCTCATTGCCCGAGGATGATGATCCTCCAAGTGTGGTGTTTTGGTGGTGGGTCCGTAGGTGGCTGTGGAGCCCGAGTCTTGATCCACATGTTCTCGCGCTGTGGGGACATTGCTTTCCAGGTGGAAGGCAGTCCCGGTAATGGGTGGCTTGACACACCTTCTTCCTCTTGGCACGTTTCTCCCTTTTGCCCTCTATTTCTGCCTCTTTGAATTCTTCAGCACTACTGGTCACAGCTGACCTCCAGCTAGAGTGCTCAAGGACCAGGGCTTCCTAGTTTTTGGCCTATGCCACAGTTTTTAAGGTTGGCTTTAACCCCATCTTTAAATCTCTTTTCCTGTCCATGACATTGTGATGTTGCATTCAATAATACAGGCATGGGTAAACTTGAGCCCTCTGGGTGTTTTGGACTTCAACTCCAGTTCCTAACAGCCTCAGGCCCCTTCCTTTTCCCCCTCAGCCGTTTAAGCTTTAAAATATTCTGAATTTTAAAGGTGAGGAGAGTGGAGAGTGATAGATGGCACAGGTTCTATAGCTCACAAACCAAAGCCAACAGAACAGTGGTCTCAACCTGTGGATCCCCAGGTGTTTTGGCCTTAAAAAGATAAAGGTTTCCCCTTTCATTAAGTCTAATCGTGTCCAACTCTTGGGGGTGGTGATCATCTCCATTTCTAAGCCAAAAAGCCAGCATTGTCCGTGGACACCTCGAAGGTCATGTGTCCAGCATGACTGCATGGAGCGCCGTTATCCTTCCCACAGAAGTGGTACCTAATGATCTACTCACATTCATGTTTTCAACCTCCAGGTTGGCAGAAGCTGGGACTAACAGCAGGAGCTCACCCAGCTCCCCGGATTCAAACTGCCAACCTTTTGGTCAGCAAGTTCAGCAGCTCAGCGGTTGATCCTGGTGCACCACCAGGGGCTCCCGGTGGCCTACAACTCCCAGAAATCCCAGCCAGTTGACCAGTTAGGATTTCTGGGAGTTGAAGGACAAAACATCTGGGGACCCACAGGTTGAGAACCACTCCGATAGGAGGAAACTGGTGCCAATTTTTGAATCAGCTGTCAACAAATATACTCACAAACAGGGCTCACATGTGAGGCCCCAAAATGTGTATTGATGTTGGAAACAGGCATTTAAAATTATGGCTGAAATCCTACATTGAGATTGTCTTAACAAATCTTTACATATAAACTTGTGCCAAGTTTTGGTTCTGCAATGCAATCCTTGTTCTAATTAACCAAGTTGAGCAAGCGAATGCACACTTCCCCTTTTGCGACCTTGAACTGAATGTGGACGTTCTGCATCAGGGAAGTAAAAAAAAACAAAAACACTACAGTACGACCCCGTATCCACAGATTCGATATCCGCAGTGTCAACTTACCCTGCTCCAAATAATATTTCCCTGTTTCTGAAAATGTCGTGGGCCTCTCTCTAAACCAGTGGTTCTTAACCTGTGGGACATGGACCACCAGTGGGCCATGAGGATGAAAATCTGGTCTGTGAGCCTCCTCCTCTTTAATTTTATTTCCACACCTTTCGTGCCACCTGCCACTCCTTCCCTGTCGCTGACCATGGCATATGTTCTGTGTCAGAAACTACAGTTGATGTGGTCTATCCAATGCAATTTTCTGAATCAGCACCCCAAATTGAATCCAAAGTTGACCAAAAACTGATTTGTAACCCTTTGGGTACTAATGTTGGAGAGTGGTCCTGGATCAAGTAGTCCATGGTCAAAGTGGTCTGTGGTCAAAATGGTCCCTGGGTCAAAGCGGTCCCTGGGTCAAAGCGGTCCCTGGTCAAGGTGGTTCCTGGTCAAAGTGGTCCCTGGGTCCAAGTGGTCCCTGGTCAAGTGTTCCCTGGTCAAAGTGGTCCCTGGCCAAAAAAAAAGGCTGGGATCTACTGCTCTAAACACTGCCAATTTGGCAGGACTTAGCCAGAAAAGACAACGTAATAATGCTTTTTATTACATCTAAAGATGCTTTACATAAACAGATAACATTCAATAGGGTAAACCAGTTTTTTTCTTCTTTCCAATGCATGTAATAAATATTTTCACTTGGTACTTTTATACAAACTGACATTGGTCTACTATACATTTTTTTTCTTGTTAAAAGCCACTTTTTTTAAAAAACTCGTTTGGCATGCTGTATGGAAAACCAAGAGAAAGTCTTAAGGCAATGAATCACAGATTTTGAGCTCATGGAATAACCTCTTTAGTATTTTCTTTTTTAATATTTACATATCGTTTTCCCTTTTGTGAATTCGAACCATGAACAGCAGCACATGCTGGGATCCCTGGCAGTTCCCTCTCTCCCTCTCTATAAACCTAAGCTTTCATTGGAAGGAAAATAACAACATAATCATCAAAAATATCCTGAAATGCCTATTGTAAAAAGGTTAATTGCACTCAAGAGAAAACTGCTAGATTGTTCAATGGAAAAAGGCCTACCAGCAATGCCATATTTCATAGGATTATGGTAGCTACCTCTTGTCACGAGAAAGAATAGGAAACCTGGGAATGCTCTTGCGAAAAATACTGAAAGGGCTTGAAACCAGCAACCAGTTTAAAGTTTTAGCAAGGTTTAGTTTTGGTTTTGCGTTTAGTTTTAAAAAGTTATGCAAACAATAATGCCCATGGAAGTTATTCAAAATCACTCATCCCTGCTATTATACAAGTTATCTTGCATCTGTGCACATACACACACACACAACAAACAAACAACAAAATGGACAAACATACAAACAAACAGGAACACTGCTCTTTTGCGGAAAAGAAAGATAAAAAAAGACAAGCCAACCAATCATGTAGATTTTAATATAAGTATCTAAAGTTATCAGCATCAAAGCAGAGTCCTTAATTCCCATTTTGTAAGAAAAGCTCTGCAAGGCTTTCTCCTAAAGAAGCTGTGAAAGTTCAAGTGAATTTCTGGTCACAGTCTGCTACTGGCTGCAAGAAACAACCATGATCAATATGTACTTTCTGGAAAGGAAATACTGCATTTCTTCTATCCTAAGGCATACTTTCCTCCCCATATAAACATACAGTAGAGTCTCACTTATCCGACATAAACGGGCCGGCAGAACGCTGGATAAACGTAAATGTCAAATAATATGGAGTTTCCTGTTATTCGTCCGATGTGGCGCTAGACACGTAGAATACTAACAGGGACTCAAAAAGTTAAGGCAAGACAACACCTCAGGATTAGAGAGGCCCAGCAGAAAGTGCCTGGATACAGAAGAAGAGTGTGGAAATCACAGAGGGAAGGAGGGAAGATGCTTCCATTTCCGGTCCTGTCTCTTTTCCCCCTTTCCTCCCTCCTCCTCCTCGTATTGCCTTTTTCACTTATTGGAAATAGAAAGCACTCCTTTAATTGAAGGGGAAATGCTGGAGGAAAAGGGGGCGTTGGATAAGATAGAATGTCAGACAAGCGAAGGTCAGATAAGCGAGACTCTACTGTACCCCCCAAATGGGGCATGTTGTAGAATCGCAGGTATATTTTATGCATTTTGGTTAGGGTGAGTTTTGCCATCAACGGCACCTCAAAACTGAAGAAATGAAGAACCTTTTAGGCACGATCTCAGAATTAAAATGCAGAATTTTCACAAAAAATAGGGCAAGAAATCACTTTAAATTGAGAAGATTCTTTTGTTATGATGGAGGCAGCATATGAATGATACCTTAAGTGGCCATCAGTTTTCAAGCTTTCCTTTCCTTTTTGGGAATGGCAATTATTTAAATGTCTAAATGGGCACCGCTTCCTAGTGGATAAGCCTCCCCACAAGAGATATTTACCTTGTTAGAACTCAAACTTCCCAAGAACCATAAAGGAGGGGGCTTTAATCCCACATATGCTTTGGATTATCTGGTGACACAGGGTCCTTCCAGACAGGCCCTATATCCAAGGATCTAATCCCAGATTTTCTGCTTCAAACTGGATTATATGAGTCTGCACTACAAGATAACCTGGGATAAACAGAAAACCAGGGATCATATCCTGGTATATAGGGCCTGCTTGAAAGTTTCTGCAGATCTCTATCCCTGCATACTTCCTTGGAGAGGGAAGATGGGAAAGAAGGAGCATTCAGAGACGAAGAGTGAAGATGGGACAATCCCTCTCTGCTTTGCCACCTGAAAGGCCTTTTCATACCATGCTTTAAAGCAGACATGGGCAAACTTTGGTCCTCCAGGTCCTTTGGACTTTAATTCTCACAATTCCTAACAGGAATTCTGGGAGTTGCAGTCCAAAACACCTGGAGGGCTGAAGTTTGCCCACATCTGCTTTAAAGAATCGCTATCCTAACAGGCTGCATTCTGGCACCACAAAATGCAGAGCCAACCTTAAGAAATGGGGCTACAAAGTGGAGTCCACGACATGCGAGTGTGGAGAAGAGCAAGCCACAGACCACTGACTACAATGCAACCTGAGCCCTGCCACATGCACAATGGAGGACCTTCTCACAGCCACACCAGAGGCATTCCAAGTCGCCAGCTTCTAGTTAAAGGACATTTAGCATAATGCCAAGTTCTTTTAAAATTTTTGTGTTTTTAAATGCACATTTAAAAACTCACTTCTGACACGATAAATAAATAAAAAATCCCACCTTAAATCCAGTGGCTGCCTCTTGCTGGATTCTGGGATTTGAAGTTTAGTGAGCTGAGAATTTGAAAGGCCTCTTCCCAAACTGCAAATGCCAGGATTCAACGTGAGGCAGCCATTGCAGGGACAGCAGCACTTGAAGTGTAGTGCGATAATATCCTGCCAGATTAAATCTCCTGCGCCCTGTATATATATATACAGATCCCTCAATATCCTTCATATATAGCCTATTGTAGATGATCCCACCCATTTGCTGATAGTTGGTTGGGGAGATTTTTGGGAATAATTGGGAAAACAGGGACTAAGCAATAAATGGGATTGAGGATGACTTGCCTTGCAGCCTGTTGCTTTTATTTACGAAGCGTGTATAGAAAAGAGAATTCAGCATTTAGTTGCCCCGTCTTGAATCTAAGAAACGTACCTAGGCAAGGCATTCCCATTGTGCAGAATACAACAACAAAGACCAAGGCCAAAGGGGTTATTCATCAGATCAATGACAGTCTGGCCTCCGACAGCCACATCCCTGACTTTGGACTATCTAGCGCTTCATTCGGTGTTTGGAACAGAATTGGACCCATTGTCAACTTAACTTTTGAGCCTTTTTCACTCTGTGTCTTGAAAACAATCCACTCTGATGCCTCCCCAAGCTGGACCGGACTTAAAAGAACTCCTGTTTCTCAGTTGTTTTATTGAGATTTGACTGACATTTAATAAATTATAAGCTGGCTGAAAGAAATGTCCTCAGCCAGATATTAATGGAATACACATGCATGGGACAGACAAGAGAGGCAGACAAACGCACACACACCTATAAATACATATATACACACACATATACATATGAACAAACCATGTCAAAATTCAAGTCAGCTTTTCAATGGTGACAGGGGACACATTTTTGGAAAATCTGCTGGGAAAAAATGGTTATTGAAGAATAAAATACGTAAAGTTTCAACAAAAGGAACCTTTGAAAACTAAGCTTTGCTTTTTAATATCAGTTTTTGATCAAAGGAAGCAAAAAGCTTGCCTGGTTTCATCTCCTCCCTCCCTCCTTCCCTCCCTCCCTCCCTCCTTCCCTCCCTTCCTTCCTTCCAATCAGTTTCCGATTCTTTTGTCAATGTAGGTGGTTAATAGCTAGATAGAAGACAAATATACACCCCAGATTGTTTTGGAATATTTAAAAAAATCTCTTTGACTCTCCCCTTTCTTATTTAATTATATTTAAACCATTTTCCTTTTTCTCCTTTCACATGCTTTGCGGTTTGGAAAGGCAGGGACAGTCTAAATCATCAGCCACATTTGAAAAGACACCACTTTAAGCTAGAGAAGCACATCTCAAGGGAGGAAAACAATCCACCCTAATTGCTAAACAAGGATCAATTGCTGCTTCGGAAACTTTGGGGAAAAGACGGCGAAGTAACTGGGAGGATTTTTTTAACATTCTGTTGCAGTTGAAGGAGGAAAAGGAAGATGTAATTTAGTAATGATGTAGAGTTGGGTCAAACATTAGTCTGACAAAATTCAGTGGAATTGACTCAGAAGCAAATGAGACAAAGGATATGGATTCAAGTATGCTTCTGGAAAGAAACATGTTATGGCCTGCTGCAAAATATACTGATAGTAAATCACTTTATCTTCTTTAACTGGGTTGTTGTGAGTTTTCCAGGCTGTCTGGCCATGTTCCAGAAGCATTCTCTCCTGATGTTTCACCCATATCTATGGCAGGCATCCTCAGAGGTTGTGAGGTCTGTTGAAAACAAGGCAAGTGAGGTTTATGTATCTGCCATGAAAGCCTTCGACAATGACAGGGGAATTCCAGACAGGAAACAATCAGGGCTAGCTAACACCTCCCACTTGCCTAGTTCCCAACAGACCTTCCAACCTCTGAGGATGCCTGCCATAGATGTGGGCAAAATGTCAGGAGAGAATGCTTCTGGAACATGGCCATACAGCCTGGAAAACTCACAGCTACCCAGTGATTCTAGCCATGAAAGCCTTCGACAATACATTTATCCTCTTTCAGTTTTCAAATCAGCCCAGTAAGTTTGATAAATCAGAAGGGGGGAGCTAAGGAAGGAAGCCGTTAATACTTGATGTTGCTAAGGTGGATGAATTCCTCTGTCTCAAGGCATTCCAAATTGCAATGCTTCGACATTAGTGACGGAACTTGGGGGGAATTGCTGGGAAAACTGTATTACTGTGTCTGATAAAGAAACCAGGACTGATGTGAAAATCAGGTCCAGAACAAAGAGCTGGGAATACCTTCCGGAATGCCTCGCCCAGCCCTGGAGTTTGTGCAAACAACTGAAAAACATCATTTTAAATTAAAATACAGGCCCAGTCCACTGGCACCAAACTCATTTATCTCCGCAGGGATAATTTTAGGAAAACCTTCCCTGCTTTCTTTTCCAATGAGGATCACTGGGAACAAACAAAACAAAAGAGTTATGCTGTTAGGAGCTGAACTATTATTTAAAAAAACACACTCAAGGGAGATGAAAAATCTTCCGTATCCAAGAACTAGGGAGTTTCTGTCATATTTTTTTTCTGTTTTGTTTTACCATTCAAAACCATCTTCTGTTTATATATACAAAAAGTACAACTGAAAATATAGTTTTGTTCTCTGTACACGTCTTAATAGGTATTTTGTTTTCCCTCTACAAAAAGGAAAAGAAAAAGCTTGTCTGCGCATCTAACCTCAAAATAAGATAACACAGGCATGGGCAAACTTGGGCTCTCTGCGTGCTTTGCACTCCAACTCCCAGCATTCCTAACAGCCTCAGGCCCTTTCCTTTCCCCCCCTCAGCCGCTTAAGCCCTGAGGGGGGAAAGGAAGGGGCCTGAGGCTGTTAGGAATGCTGGGAGTTGGAGTGCAAAGCACGCAGAGAGCCCAAGTTTGCCCATGCCTGAAAAAAAGGACCAAGAAAGAAAGAAAAAACGCAACCGTCCAGCATTCTCTCTCTCTCTGCTCCATCGAGTCCAGTGGCACCACGCCAGGGCTCAGTCCAAGGAGATAATGTCCGGGATGACGCCAAAGAGGGAGGCTGGGTCTGTACCGCTGCGACTGGCGACCGGGTGGCTGTGGCTGTCTCTCAAGCTGTTGTTGGAGGAGGAGACCAGGCTGCTGTTGCTGCCGCTGTTACTGCCACCGCCATTGGCCGAGGGGAGTGGGCCAGCCCCTCCGGCCGCATTCAGCTGCTCCAGGAACATTTGGGAGGAGGCGTAGGGAAAGAAGCGGGAGTGCAGCAGGTCTTGGTCCTCCGAGGCAGACACTGCTGCTGCTGCTGCCGCCAGCAGGGAAGTGCTGTAATGCTAAAGGGGGGGGGGGGGAGATGAAAAGATGTTGGAACTCAGCCATGTCCTGCACAAGTTGATAGTCCTCAACAAGGAGATACACAGGCAGCTCAGCAGGCAGGGAAAGCCCCCCATTGCCCTCTTTACGTATTTTACCCCATTTACCATATGTACTGAATGCTGAATATGCCATTACTTGGCTGGGCACAGAAACCAAAAACACAAATGTACCATATGCTCAAATATAAGCCGAGGCATCTAATTTTACCAAAAAAAGACTGGGAAAACATACTGACTCGGGTATAAGCTGGGAGTGGGAAATGCAGCAGCTACTGGTCAATTTCGAAATAAAAAATAGATACCAATAACATTACATTAATTGAGGTATCAGTAGGTTAAATGTTTTTGACTATTTATGTAGAACTGCAATTTAAGATAAGACTGTCCAACTCTGATTAAACCATTATTCTAACCTTCTTTGATGTAAATGTGCTTAAGTATCCTTCCAATAATAATAGAGTAAAATAATAAACATAATAACAACAATAATAATAGAGTGAAATAATAAATGTAATAATAATAACAATGATAGAGTAAAACAATGTAATAATATTACTAATAAAAGAGTAAAATAGTAAATGTAATGACAATAATAGAGAATAATAATCATAAAAAGAGTAAAATAATTAATGTAATAATAATAAGAGTAAAACAATAAATGTAATAATATTAAAATATATAGAGTAAAACAATAAATGTAATAATAGAGTAAAATAATAAACATAATAACAATAATAGAGTGAAATAATAAGTGTAATAATGATAGAGTAAAATAATGAATGTAATAATATTAATAATAATAATAGAGTAAAATAGTAAATGTATTAACAATAATAAGTAGAGAAAATAATAATAATAAATAGAGTAAAATAATTAGTGTAATAAAAATAATAATAACAGAGTAAAATAATTAATAACTTTGACTCAAGTGTAAGTTGAGGGGGGGGGGGGCATTTTCAGCCTAAAAAAAAGGGCTAAAAAACTTGGATTATACTCAAGTATATATGGTACTCAAATCTAATGTTCACCTTTTTTGGGCTAAATTACCTTTCCAAAATCAAGGTGAACATTAGATTTGTGTAATACAGTAATCTGCATACCACTCACCTGATTGTCTCCTGGTAAGAAAGAAAAGAAGTCCAAACCTGCAAAAAACACAACCAAAAGGTATTGGTTTTGTGTGCAGCAAGTCATTTTATTCTAAGAACAGCACAAATAAAACTATGTAACAAAATGTGAAATCAAAATCTGTTCCTGATTTGAAAATGTTATTTACTGTTTAAATGTGCAGTACTTACTTTGAAAGTAGTTGTTCTTCTCCAGAAACTTTGTTTTTGTGGTTGGCACAAACATGGTTGAATTGGTTGAGAAATTTTGTGAAAAATTATCACAAAATGTGCTAAAGCAGGATGTCCCACCCACAAAAACAAAGTTTTTGCAGTTTAATCAACGCTTTCCATGTTTTTTTTATTATAGAACAAAGTAGAAAATAATATTTATAACCCAGGAAAAATACGTCTGGTCTGGAGGCCAGAGATATTCACGCTTGCTTTTTGTCCAAATCCTGACAAAATGGCCTTTGCTCTGCTCTTAACCGGAGTTGGGAGCCCACCTTGAAGGTCGTAAGGCATGGGCGTCATGTGGAAGGGGTGCCGGTAGTCTTGGATAAGCGAGGTGTTGATGTAACTTGTGTCGACCGCCGGGAGGCTTGGGGTTCTCGAAACAGGGGAGACTTGGTGCGGCAGGCTTAAAATGCTGCAAATAAGAAGAAGATATCTTGAGTTTGTGCACTCGTAGTGCAGTGGTTCCCAACCTGTGGGCTGTGGACCACCAGTGGTTTGCAAGAACGAAAATATGGTCCACAGCCTCATCCTTGCAACGAGAACGACTGGTCTCACGAAATCCTCTTATAGTACCGAGGCTTATTAAATATGGTGTTCTGTATTGGAAGCTAGAGCTGATGTGGCCTATTCAATGCAATTTTCTGAATCAGCGCCCCAAATCACCAAACCGAATCTAAAGTTGACCAAAAACTGATTCGTAACTCTTTTGGTACTAATGTTGGAGTGGGGTCCTGGTCAAAAAAAGGTTGGGAAGCACTGCCATAGAGTTGCTGACATCCCCAAATTCACAAAATCCATCAAGACTTAGTATTAATGGTTTGCACCCCCTGCTCTTTTTAATTTTATTTCCCCCACAATTGCACTACAGATGTTACACATTTTTGGCAAGCTATGATGCAACACAGTGGTGCCCCTGCTTCTCCTCCCTCTCCCCTTATCTGCTCTGTTGATTTCCTGTTTCTGGAGAAGGAGATGCTATTACTTTGAAGATGTCTGCTGGGTATCTTCCAAGGTTGCAACCCTACATTAGACCATCTGTCTAGTGGTTGTTTCTAGATAATTTGGGGGGTGGGATTTTCTCTGGTACAGTCTTATTCGTAGCCCTCTGTCCACAGTAGTGAGGCTTTTTTCTTTTTTGACAAACTTTAAAAATGGTCAGTGTAAATGTGCTTATGTAGCCTTCCAAATAATAAATGTAATTATAATAGTAAAATAATAAATGTAATAATAATAATAAATTAACATAAATGTAATAATAGAGTAAAATAACATAATAATGATAACAAATATTTAAAATTAATAAATGTAATACTACTAATAATAGAGTAAAATAATGTTAATGTAATAATAATCTATATAAATAAAAATCTAATGTTCGTTTGTGGGATTATCCTTCACTCAAAAAATTGATTTTCTCATTTGGGAGTTGTAGTTGCTGGGATTTATAGTTCACTTACAACCAGAGAACATTCTGAACCTCACCAACGATGGAATTCAACCAAACTTGGCACACAGTTCTCCCATGACAAACAGAAAATACTGGAAGGGTTTGGTGGGCAGTGTCCTTTGGTTTTGGAGTTGTAGTTCACCTACATCCAGAGATCACTGTGGACTCAAACAATGATGGATCTGGAACAAACTCTACATGAAGATTCAATATGCCCAAATGTGAACACTGGTGACGGTTGGGAAAATAGAATCTTGACATCTGGGAGTTGTAGTTGCTGGGATTTATAGTTCACCTACAATCACAGAGCATTCTGAAACCCACCAACGAGAGAATTGGGCCAAACCTCCCACATAGAACTCCCATGTGGGCCACAGCAGTGCCTGGCAGGGGACGACTAGTAATAATAATAACAACAACAACAACAGAGCAAAATAATAAATAACTCTGACTTGAGTATAAGCTGAAGGGGGCTTTTTCAGCCTAAAAAAGGGCTGAAAAACTCGGCTTATACTCAAGTATATACAGGAATCATTAAAACACTGTGCAAAGGGTTTTGTGGCTCACATGTCTCCTGAAAGGATGCCTGCAAGTACATCCCAGGCAGAGCCCTAGTCATGACACTCTTTGGTCCCCTCACCTTTTGTTGTTAATGGGGGAGGCCGGCGAGAGGGATGGGCAGCTCCTCTTGACAGATGGCTCCTCCTCCTCTTCGTCGGACGAGCTCTCGATGGTTAAGTCAATCACCTCAACTTTCTTGTTTTTGTTTGAATGGTGAGATGTTACCTGATGATCCACAGAAGAACTTAAACAGCCTAGAAAGATACCAGTCAAATGATGAAGTCCCAGTTCTGAAGTACAGCGAGCATTAAAGACGCAAGCAAACGTCACAAATTGCACAATAACGTACCACACATCAAAATGATCAGGGAGATGAGAGGAATGGCATAGTTCAATGGGAAACCCACCTTCTACTCCATTGAAAGATGTGTTCACCTCTTGTGCCTCCTTTTTGCATCTCATAGGAGCCCAAGACCCATCCTCCTTAAATTGGATTTCATCACAATCTGTGCAATACTTCAGGATTTCCATAAAGAGCCTGTGAAAAAGAACCCCCTCAGAAATCACGCAGGAACACAAGGCAAAACCTCTCTCTCTCAAGAGAGAGAGAGAGAGAGAGATGCCCAAAAACAACCCCAGCTTTTCCAGGTCTCTACAAGAAGAGACAAAACTAGCTTTGCCTTCCTGTGCTAGCTCAGTTTCCCAAAGTTACTCACCCGTCAATGATGAGGTGTTCGTAGGGGGCCTTTTTGTCGCAGACAGGGCAAACCCAGGTGGGTTTCTTCTCATTCATCTGAATGTACAAAGTGGCATCGAAGCACTGCAGGTGGGAACAGGTCAGCGACCGGCAGGGGATGGCCAGACGCATTTTGCCAAGCTTTTAAAGAAACCAAGAAAAACAACAGTGAGTGAGAGCATTTGTGGCAGGAGAACTCTGTCTTACACAATATGCTCAACTTATTAAAAAGACCTTTCAAAAGCATGTCAATTTTAGATATAGGCTCACCATATTTTATAACAGTCACATTTTTATACCCTTTTTAATCAAAAAGGAGGGTGCGACTATTATGCGATGAAACAAAATCTGTGTTTGATTCTCTGGTTTCTGTTTTTTTAAATTTCTATAAATAAACTGCTTTACTGAGGAGAAAGAGGAGAAGGTGGGGAAAGGATTGAGCCTCAAACAAACAGCCCTGGAGACCATGCAAAAAGAATCTTCAAAGCCCACCTCCTCCAAGGTGAATTGAACCACCTAAACTGGGCTCTCCAGGCCGATAGAAACTCTACCACAGACATCAGAAGAACTGCAAAAACAAGAACAAGCCACGAGAGTCAAGACAAAGATCCACCCAGAAGAAAGGTGTTCTTACCATACGTCAAGGAAACCACTGGCCACATAGGAAAGCTGGTGAAGAAACACAACCTACAAACTATCTACAGAACCACTAAGAAAATCCAGCAAATGCTACATTCAGCAAAGGACAAGAGGGATCCTCTCACCTCTGCAGACGTCTACCATATACCACGCAGCTGTGGACAAGTCTACAGAGGGACCACCAAACACAGCAGAATTGCCAAAACACGTATCAAGGAACACGAAAGGCACTGCAGACTAGTTCAACCAGAGAAATCAACCATAGCAAAGCACCTGATGAACCAATCTGGACACAGCGTATGATTGGAGAATGCAGAAATGCTGGACCACTCTCACAACCATTATGTTAGACTTCAAAGAAAAGTCATTGAAATCCATAGGCACAATTTAAACAAAAAGGAGGAAACCATGAAAATGAACATCATCTGGTTACCGATATTTAAAAACCCTAAAATCAGGACAGTAAATAAAGAGCAACACTCAGAAAACAGGGGAATTCCAGGCAGGAAACAATAATCATAAATTATTTTTACAATAAAATGTTGCATGAAGTACTGTGTAGTTTAAAATTTTACACTCAAGACAGCTCTAACACATTTTCAAATGTTGCTGACAGATTGACAAAGGAAGCAGCCAGGCTTTGAAGCTGCAAGGCTATTAAATACTAATAAAGCTGGCCAATAGCAACATTCACACCTGCCTCCAACAGACAAGAGTTCTTTCTCCCACCCTGGACAATATTCCACAGGTTTATAAACCTCACTTGCTTAGTTTCCAACAGACCTCACAACCTCTGAGGATGCCTGCTCACAGCAACCCAGCTCAGGTACTGTTTGTGTATTATGTTTAAACTGCCTTGCTTCGGAGGAAGATTCTCCCTCCCCCCCTTCCTCCTTTCTTTCTTTGAAGGCAAGGCAGGTTGCAAAATCTGAAATTAAGCTCTTTGGAGAAAGGAGAAAGCTCCAGAGACCTCCATTTATTTATTGTTTTTAAATTGCCTTACAGGACTTGCGGGAAGTTGTGGGACTGCAACTTCTTGGAACTCTAGCCAGAGCATCCAATGGTGATGGATGATGCCTGCCACACAGTGGAGGCTGGTATTTACTTCCTTGACTTGCAGCACCTAAATGTCTCTGCAATGTCCAGAAGCATCTCTGAAGTCCTCCACCTATCCCTGGTGTGGCCATTCCATGCGTTGTAGGAAGCAGGCGAGATCTGGGAATGACCTGGTTACATAATCCAGATGGATGCATAATGATGATATCATTGCAGAGATCCTCTGGATGTATCACTGCTGCTACTATCATGTCATGTCTAGCTTTCCAGAGGGAGCCAACATGTTTCACTTTCCACAAGGAAGAAATCATTCCACAGAATGCTACGGGTCTTTCTTTCACATGATCTATCCCAAAGTATATATCTTACATATAAATATAGATGGTGTTGAGGTTGGCATTACTGCAACAGATTTACAGAGAAGCAACATTTTAGGGAAGTGACACTTACTGGGCACAGAAGAGAAACTCGCAGACTGGTTGTGGCTATTTCGCTGTCAGGATCTGCTGTTAGTTTCTCTTTGACTGTCAAGGACAGAAAGAGAAAACAACATGAAGCAGGAAACACTATTAAAAGATACACTGCAAAAAGAGATAGGGAGAGCAAGCAAAGTAGACATCAGAGCCAGGCTTCTTAAACCTTTCCCACTTGAGACCTCTTTTGGTCTGGGAAATTTTTACACAAACTCAGGTGTGTAAAAATAGCTCTCTATATATCGAACATTTGCTGATAATAAACCAGCATTGGCAAGGTTAGCTAAATAGGTTGATTTCACTTTTGTGGAGTACAGCTGAAGAATCTTCTACAAAGTCCACTGTAAACACCGCACGCTGTTTCTAACAGATTTGTGCAAATGTGTGGTGTTCAGAACCCTTCACTGTTGTCATACTTTTCATGAGGAAGGGGACCCCATTTGGGGTTGGGACCCACAGTTTTAAAAAACTGCCTTAGAGGAATTGTTACAGGAGAAACTCACAAGGAGATGAACTGCAAGGAAGCTACAATATCCAAGTGATCATGGGGCAAGGCGGACCGACAGACAGACAGTGGAGTACTGTAAAAGCCAATGAAGATGCTACAAAGAGATGGCTGATGCCATCTCAAAGGTGGGAATGGAGCACCCATAAATCACACCCATGCCCTCATACACTGGCTCTCAAGTAAAATACTGGTAAGTATTTGAAAGAGCTTAAGAGTTTCACTTTTCCATTGGAAGGCAGTTTCATACTCCACGGAAGAGAGTTGGGGCCTATAGACACTAAGACACCAGAGAGCAGAAAACACGTGTGTCCAGCTCTTAGTTTTAGGCCCCTTGAAAATGACAAGGCTTCCTTCACATGAGGGGTCAGATGCCCCATTCTTAGTTGAAGAAAACCACCCTTACTATGATACCAATAAATGGGGAACAGTGATCTGTCAGGAGTTCTATGCAGCCATTACACTTCTGTCTTGAGGAAGTGACTCTATTAGTTCTGGTTAAAAAACCAGGTATCCAAAACAAAACAAAACAAAAAAAACAACAACCCACAGTTGTCGTAATCTTCTACTCAAACAAAATATACAAAGTATATACAAAATATACAAACTTTACAACTTTACAAACTTCTTCCTCGTTACTCACAGAAGTAATTCTCCAACACTCTCCAAATCATCATCTGTTCCTCAACAACCCTCATCAAACTTACTCAGTATAACTACAACCTATATTTAACTACTCCTATTGCATTAACCACTACACACTAACTACAGGCCAGAGGTATGAACTACACTATTAATTAGAAAATGCCTGGTAATTTCCAAATCCTGACATGATCACTTTTCCCTCTCCGCTAATTCTACTTCATGAGAAGCCTCCACACATCAGACTTACTTAGTGCTCTGGAATGGTCAGGATTTCGGATGCCTTTCGCTCGCAACCGCTGCAACAGCACCGTAGAAGATAGCTGCTTGACGAGGTAGACGGCCATGGAGTAGGTCTGGGGGGAAAACACAGAAAAAAGGGTGAGGCACGTAGAATAGGTTGGGGCTTTGTGTAATCCTTCCAAATCCTCACCCAACATGTTGCACCAGGCATTCTATGATAGCAAAGGAGTAGGTTGGTTGAAGAAAGATAAGTCGCTCCATCCTCTTGCCCTCTTCTCAACTTGTGACAGAGAGAAGGTTGTCTTTCTGATCACATGGAAACCAAGGAGGTTGAAGGAAAAGTGACAGGTTTAGGACCCCTTCTTCCAACAAATTTATTCCCTCCTTGCATGGGAGTCCCTGCTGCCTCTGGCCTTCAGGAAGTCACTAAACACATCTGGAAACGCCGACTTCAAGAACAGGAACAGCAGCCAAGCTATTTTCTCCTTTGTGTATTATCTTTAGAGGTAGAACTTTTCAGAAGACGAGCCAGTTATTGACCCTCCCATGGGCACATCTACACACGTTTCAAGTTGACTTGTATTCCCTTAAATACTCAGATCAGAAATCCTGATCAAAAGGATCAAGGTGGATGAAGACATAGCTGGTTTAGATCTCTGCAGAAACATGAAATCCACCTAGCGCTGCTTTGTGTTGAAGTTCAGTCCATGATTGTGCCTGCTCCTAATGTCAGTGAGGGTTGGGATTTGTGGGCCTGCAAGCCAGAATGAGATTTTAAGTCCTAAAACCGAGCAGTCTATGTCTCCAGAAGCTAGTGAAGACCACATTCCAGAGAGGGGCCCAGATGCTGCTCAGAAGCCTTTCTCTAGGGAAGCAAGGTCAGAGGCTGAAATGAGATCAGAGGATGAAATCGCAGGTGGTGAGGATTACGAGCTTTTAGATAGGAGAGTTAGTTTTCGTAAACTCTGTGTGGCTCAAAGCATCCCCAAAGGTCACAACGCTTTTTACAGAAAAAGCTGTTATCAGGCAGCCAGGGAAAACAACATGATTTCATGTATTTATTAGAGAGACCAGGAGGACTTCCAGCCAATCTGGTTAATATTGGTGCTGAAGCAATAACTTTTGCCTAGTTAAGCCTGCTAAGGGAATTCTAGTTCATGTCTCCATTCATATTTCATACTTTCAAGTTTGAAGAATTATTCCTGGATTTTTGTATGAGATTATATGCTGCCTTGTGTCTCCTGGTTCTTTTGTATCCCTGTGCTGGATGCCCTGATGTTCTTAGGTTTTTGAAACTACTCTTGTACCTTTAATTTTGTGGACTATTTCATACATTTGAACTTTTGACATTTTTACTATTTTTGCTGAACTGTTTTTTTTATATAACCTTCAATTAACTGCTTGCTGTTTGAACTTGGACTGGAGTGTGATGGTTAAGTACTGAGCTGCTTTCTGCCCTGGAGTGCAACACTTTGTCTGGATGATATGCTATTGCAAAGTCCCTTCCATGTCATTTTTGGCTTTGTCAAGTACTGTCTATGACCATGTATTTTATTTAATATACAAATATTTATGTAATTGTGTAATTGACTTTGAGTAGGTCATTTGATTTGAGTCTAGCTGCTGGCTGCCATGACGATCTGGATGAGGGAGAACAAGCTGAAGATTAATCCCGACAAGACAGAGGTCCTCCAGGTCAGTCACATGTCAGATCGGGGTATAAGGGGGAAACCTGTGCTCAACAGGGTTGCACTCCCCCTGAAGACACAGGTCAGCAGTTTGGGGGTTCCTCTTGGACTTAGCGCTGACACTTGACGCTCAGGTGTCGGCTGTGGCTGGGAAGGCCTTTGCACAATGAAAACTCGTGCGCCAGCTGTGTCTGTACCTAGTGAAGTCTGATCTGATGAGGGTGGTTCACGCTTTAGTTAGGCTGGACTATTGCAATGCACTCTACTTGGGGCTGCACTTAAGATGGCCTGGAAACTTCACTTGGTCCAACGATCAGCACCCAGACTGTTAACAGGAGCGAATTACAGGGCGTGGTCTACCCCTCCCCCCCCCCCCCGTTTAAGGAGCTCCATTGGCTGCCATTCATTTCCAGTTCTAATTCAAGGTGTAAGTCATCACCTACAAAGCCCTGAAGTTTGGGACCTGCCTACCTTCATGACCGCATCTCCTTTTACAATCCTGCACAATCTCTTCGATCCTTGGGGGAGGCCCTCCTCTCGCTCCCACCTCCATCACAAGTGCGACTTGTGGGTATGAGGGAAAGAGCCTTCTCCATTGTGGCCCCCAGCTTTGGAACTCCCTACGTAGTGAGATTAGACAAGCCCCCCTCCCTGGCAGCCTTTAAGAAAGACCTAAAAACCTGGCTCTTCCGGAATGCCTTTGACGAATGAACCCATATCCCCATATAATGTCTATCCCAACTATAGTTCTGTCCTCATAACACACTTTTCCTTGTCTTTAATGAAGGTTCAATCCCATTGGTCACCCCTTCTGAACTCCCCCACAGACACATACTTCTCCATTTACTTATCTCACCCAGGGTTTTATCAATCGTATTCTGTGTATTTGGCTCGCCCACCGTGCTTTTATTTTATTTCTTCATCGTGTTACTTTGCATCTGTTTATGTCATTTGCAGTTATTTTATGTATTTTATTTTGTTGTTATTATTTTCTGTTCGTATTTTATTTTGTTGTACTGTAATTCTGGGCTTAGCCTCATGTTAGCTGCCCCGAGTTATAAATTCTGGGCTTAGCCTCATGTTAGCTGCCCCGGGTTATAAATGTAATTTCCTAATTAGTTCTATCATAAAAACATGGAAAGAGTTTATTAAACTGCAGAAACTCGGGAGGGACATCCTGCAGCACATTTTGATATAGTTTTCCAATGAATATCTCATCATAGAGTCTCAACCAATTCAATATAGTTCGTGGCAGCCACAAAAACGAAGTTTTGGGAGTATCACAACTACTTTTAAAGTAAGGACTGCACAATTAAACAGGAAATAACACTTTCAAACCAGGAATATAAAACTTTTCAAATTTTGTGATATAGTGTTATGAATTTTCATGTCTTCTTTTCCCCATCCCCTGACTGTCTTATGGTAAGGTTTCACTCACCCTTCCTATCTCTGCAGTCCACGAGACGACGATGGTGTTTGGTACGGTTGTGGACAGGCGCACAAGTGAGGTGATGTTGATTGGCCGGCTCGGTCGCTTTGGTTCAACCCCATTTTTAGTTGGTGGAAGATAGCCCTGCAAAGGCCACACAAAGTCACAATGACCACACCAAGCTGGCTTGGTTCCTTTATCGCCTTGTTTACGTGCACCACAGTCCTTCATCGCAAGACACTATCTCCTTTTTACTGATAGGGCAACAAGGCTGAGAAGTGTCCAAGGCTCAGCTCTCCCCACAACTCCTTTCTTTCTACCAGTCTCTCAATGCCGCTAATTGCTCCCAGAGTAGAACACAACAGAAGACGCATAAAAGCAAAAGTCTTTTCATCAAGTCCTTATCATTAAATTTTCCAAATCCCAATCCATACACAGAATGGACTTAAACAGATGGCAACTGGAAAACAGGCAAATGGAAGCCAGAACAGAGATCGCTCACTCCTAACTGTGTGCTTCCTCTTGCATTTCTGAAACCCAAAGATTCCTGCTTTGCATTCAATTCAGCCCAGCACTAATCACTTGGACAGACTCCAAACTACTTTTCTCTTCTAATCAAGAGCATCTCCTAACAACCGTAGTGAAAGGCAGAGATACTCACAGGAAGGCTACATGGTTTTCCATTAACTTTCACGCAAAGATTTGGTGGGAAGTGATCCTCTTGCGGGCAGCTGGTTTCCGATAAGCAAAACCTAGAGAAATTTGGCTGTGTTTTAGATTCAGTTTTGTACTAAGACTCAAACAGCATCAAATGACAGTGAAATATATGCTTCTGCCCTACTTTCCCCTTCGGGTCTAAGGCATCTAGTAAAGGTAAATATTTCCCCTTGACATAAAGCAGGGGTCCTCAAACTAAGGCCCGGGGGGCAGATATGGCCCTCTAAGGTCATTTACCTGGCCCTCATTCAGGGTCAACCTAAGTCTGAAACGACTTGAAAGTACACAACAACAATAATCCTATCTCATCAGCCAAAAGCAGAACCACACTTCCCATTGAAATACTAATAAGTTTATATTTGTTAAAATTGTTCTTCATTTTAATTATTGTATTGTTTTAAAGGGTTTTTGGACTACAAATAAGATATGTGCAATGTGCATAGGAATTCATACATTTTTTTCAAATTATAATCCAGCCCTCCAACAGTTTGAGGCACTGTGACCTGGCCCTCTGTTTTAAAAGTTTGAGGACTCCTGACATAAAACCTAGTTGAGTCCAATTCTGGAGAGTGGTGCTCATCTCCATTTCTAAGGCAAAGAGTCGGCGTTGTCCGTAGACACCTCCAAGGCCATGTTGCCTGCATGGAGCGCCGTTACCTTCCCACAGAAACGGTACCTATCAATCTACTCACACTAGCATGGTTTTGAACTGCTAGGTTGGCAGAAGCTTGGCCTAACAGCAGGAGCTCACCTTGCTCCCTGGATTCGAACCACCGACCTTTTGGTCAGCAAGTTCAGCAGCTCTGTGGTTTAACCCACTGCGCCACCGGGGGGACCTACCAACCCAAAAAACAAAAAAAATGGCTCTCAAAGGCTGAAGGTAGAATTCAAGAAAAGGTGATGCGACTAATTTAAAAAGTATGAGTTAAGACAATGGAGACAATTACAAGCAGTAAGCAAACGTAATTACATGAATGAACATAGAGTTAGCAAACTGAGCAAAGGATTTCTCCCTCCTCCTCATACTGCCTGCTTTTTGCTTGAATTTGGAACCAAGAAATTGCTATAAAGGCTGAAATCACCATCTTGAGATAAGAGACCACAGCAACTGTGGGGTAGTTATTCCCTATCTGCTTTTCTGCTAGGAAAGAAGGCCAGATGCTCACTCAAGGCAGGAAACGGGAAGAGGAGTAAAAAAGAGGGAAAAAGAAATGAATCAGGCAGGGAAACAGTATCAGATGCAACTGGATTTCCTCAAATCAAGGGGGCATTAGTTTAAAATGACCCCAAACTGCACTGATACCCTCAACAGCACATAAAGGAAAATATACAAACATGAAAAGGTACAAGTTCTCCTTCAGGAGATAATGGCAACATTAATCAAAGCGGCAGCCAATCCTTCAGCCACAGGGCGAGGAAAAGGCAGCAAGAGAGCTCTCTCATCTCTAGCTCTCCAACGTACAGCAACAAGAAGGGAGAAAGATGGTGTAGGCTTCCTCTGAGAATATTCTCATGTTTATTCAAAGTAAGCATTTTTATCCATAAGAATACTCAGCAAGGATCATTTGTACAGAGTTCTGCTTTTCCTGAGCTTGAAGGGTGAAACCATGTCCCGTGAACTCTGAAATCGGATGGTAGGGAAAACATACCTTAGCTGGACCTGCACTGTGAAGTCGCATTTGGTTCCGGAAATGTCCCTAGCGAAAGGGAGGAAAGGTGGCATGTTAAAATAAACCAAATATCAGAACTTGGCTCTCGAAATGCTTAATATGCCATTGCTCAGCTGGGCACAGAAACCATATGGGCAAAAACATAAATGTACCGTATATACTCGAGTATAAGCCAACCCAAATATAAGCCGAGGCATCTAATTTTACCACAAAAAACTGGGAAAACATTGGCCGAGCATAAGCCGAGGGTAAGAAATGCAGCAGCTACTGGTCAATTTCAAAATAAAAATAGATACCAATAAAATTACATTAATTGAAGTAACAGCAGGTTAAATGTCTTTGAATATTTATACAAAACTGTAATTTAAGATAAGACCGTCAAACTCTGATTAAACCATTATTCTAACCTTCTTCAATGTAAATATACTTACGTAACCTTCAAATGATAATAGAGTAAAATAATAAATGTAATAATAACAATAAGAGTAAAATAATGTTATAATTAAAAGAGAGTAAAATATCTGTAATAATAAAAATAATAAAGTAAAATAATAAATGTAACAATAATAATAGAGTAAAATAATAAATGCAATAATAATAGAATAAAATAATAAATTAATAATAGCAATAATAATAACAGAATAAAACAATAAATATACTCGAGCTTTCCCATCTTTCGGCATCTTTGGAGGCTGTGCTTGGTTCCTGCCACAGGAGGGTGCTGTCACTACACCTCCTTGCCGAAGAGCTTTCTTTGTTCGCTGAAACACTGTGCCTAAACGACCTCCCCGCTTAATGCAGTTCCTATTCATCCAATCATATTGCTGCTTTTGATCCACTAGGGGGGCAGAGAGCTGGGCTGAAGGTCAGGAGCTCACTCTGACCCAGCTTCAAACTGTCAACTTTTCTGTTGGCAAGATTTACTGCAGCTGCAACTGATGATTAACCTGCTGTGCTAAAGCCAGCCACCACCATCATCACCATCATCATTATTGCAGCTTTACACCTGCTTGTACATCTGCTGCAAACTCACTTTCATCTAGCCTCTGAGTTCCCAATCGTTGATCCCCAATATATTTTTGAACTCCAATACTCAGACTTTCCAGACTGTTGGCCCAGTTGTCTGAGGCCTCTGGGAAATGAAGTCCGAAACACCTGGAGGGACAAAGCTTGGGCAGCTCTCTACTCTCAACATCCACCGCATCTATTCTGGCAACCCCACAATTGGAGACACATTTGTAAATATGTTGAACACTTCAGAAGCATCACACTAAGAAACGCTGAAAGGTCATGATGACTTACATAGAGCTGCTTATCTGTTGCACTTGCTGTGGAGTCAGGGCAAACGCAAAGCATGTTTCCCGAAACCGCTGGCTGTTATCGGATGCTGTGGGAGGAGAAGGGGAGATGGAATATACCAGGAGGTATTAAAAACATCCACAGATCTTTTATGCTGCTGAAAAGCAGATTATTCTCGTTCTCGTTTTTGTTCACACCTGAGTTGTAAATAATATATATAACTACAATAAAAAATCATATTAAAAAAAGGAAAAGCAGATTATTCTTCCTCACTTTTCAGGAAACACATGACCATGCCCACGTTTGAAAATCTAACAAGATTTTAATTATCTATATTCCATATTGAGAGTCAACAAGATTCATACAGGACTGTTTCTCACTGTCAAAGGAAATTGAGACTTGCTTCATCAATTAGTTTCCAACACTCAAAAGTGAAAGGGGCATTGTAAAACATAGGGTATGTGAATTAAAGACTTAGGCATAAGCCTTTAAGAAGAAACTGAATCATTTAAAAACACCTATACTTGGTCACTACGGTTGATATCATCAGGGAATACAATTTGGGGTAGAATGAATGAATGTAAAGCAATTATTTCAATCCGCCAGGGGAAAAGACTCCACTGCTTTATATCAAAACTCCCAGTGATAACCTCTTGATACATCTATGGGGTGAATAGAAGTCTCACATGATGCCAAAGGAAGCAAGAGCAAAAAATAACCACCTCGGTTTTAGAGGGAACTGAAAGCAAGTCAAATGTGTCTCTAAAAATACATGATTTATCAAGATGGAAGCCAGCCAGGGCTTTGCAACCCAAACCACTCCTATCTGGAAAATGCCCAAGACATGCTTTTTGTAACCTCCCCCTCCTCCCAAATCCTACTTATTGCTTTTTCAAGAGTTATGAATTACAAAACATGCAGTATGAACAATACAGAATTTCTATTTGCATAAAATAGGTATTTGGCAAGGAAGAGAATGTATATTACATACTCCCAGAGTTTGGACCAAGGGCACAAGGATAATGCAATCTTTACAGCTGCCTTGTGAACTGTGTTTGTTCTCTGTTTACACACACATATACTATAAAGACACACATATATAAATATATATATAAACACACAGAGAGACATATGAAGAGACTATGTGTTTTTGAAGGCTTTCACAGCCAGAATCACTGGGTTGCTATGAGTTTTCCAGGCTTTATGGGCATGTTCCAGAAGAATTCTCTCCTGAGGTTCCACCCACATCTATGGCAGGCATCTTCAGAGGTTGTGAGATCTGCTGGAAACTAGGCAAGTGAGGTTTATATATCTGTGGAATGTCTAAGGTGGGAGAAAGAACTCTTGTCCGCTTGAGGCAAGTATGAATGCTGCAATTGGCCACCTTGAATCAATCAGGGCCAGCTAACACCTCTGAACAAAGGATTCCTCCAGACTGCAACCAGTCAGACTTTGAAGCTGCAAGGCCATTAAATGCTAATCAAGGTAGTCAGTTGCAACTAAGTTCTTTCCCCCATTGTGGACATTTCACAAATATATAACCCTCACTTGCCTATTTTCCAAGAGACTCCTCAACCTGGGGGGGATACCTGCCATGGATGTGGGCGAAACATCAGGAGAGAATGCTTCTGGAACATGGCCATGCAGCCTGGAAAACTCACAGCAATCCTATGAACAGACTCTTGCTTCTTTTCTTTGGATCACAGCCGCCTTGTGAAGTGTCTTTGTTATATACATATATGTGTGTATTTCATTGTTTTTATCTATGTGTTTTTACTGATGTGTTTTAACCGTGCTGTACATAATCTCAAGCCATGAGCAGCAGCAGGTAACTATTATTATTACAGCTGTTGTAAGTAGCACTGACCCAAAACCCCAAGCAAGATTCATGTCTCAGTGCAGCCATATCTTTCTGGTTTTACACTAGACCCAGAATATTGCATTATCTCTTTATTCAGTACAGCAAAACAGACCTTCATGGGAAAACACAAAGCCCCTATACAAACATGTTTAGGTCATGTGTTAAGGTTTGCCCAAGAGAAGATGCGGGGAAAACTACGTGCAGAGCAAGGTCAGTGTTCAGAAACGCAATTAGGGCTGTTTCCAACACGATTCTTCATGTAATATGTACCTGTGACAGAATGGAAGAAAATCTGAAATCCTTCCTGCCGGTTGACTGAGACCACGCAGGATGCATCCACTTCTTCAGCTTAATACATATTAATGCACTCGCACCCCAACCTCTTTCAGTTCTAGCCACCCGCTAAATATAGCTCCGCAATCTTTCTCCTGTAAAATATGCCTTGCTGTGCTGGAAAACGCTCTCCTCGGATAACCATTCCGGAATGTTCTTTGAGAAAGGCAGCCCCACGCCGCTGCTGACAGCAGGCCACAGCACTCCGTTTCAATGGTCATCAGCTCAATTTATTAGCCGGGAACGCTTTCCATCTTCCCCGGCAAATTGGCCATTGCTAAATAATTAAGCACTTACTGTGATGACGAAGGGGAAAACATGTCGTGAAGACACTATTTGCCGGAGAGATTTCACGGTACAATGAACTCTAACTTATTTAAAAGGGGAAAGTGGCTTCCCCAGCTTGGCACATCTGATTTCTTTTTCTGCAAAGCTTATGCAAGACCCGCCACATAAATACACCACCACATTACGGCGATTGGGCCGTGATAGATTAGGAAGGAGTCTTTGAGAATCAATCCTGCCTTGCTGCACGTTGGCACTGTATGCATTACTACAGCGTTAGGGTGTATTTGCATTGTTGCATATTTATTAAGGAAATAATTGGCTCGATTAGGGAAACGAGATCTTGAATTCGCTTCGATCCTCAGATCTGTTGCACTCACAGAATGAGTAATGGCCATTTAAAGTTATGGCACTCGATCAGATTACAAGAACGTTGAATATGGCAGAGATGGGCAAGAAATAGGGCTACAAAGTAAAGTCCACAACATGCGAGTGTGGAGAAGAGCAAACCACAGACCACTTGATACAATGCAGTCTGAACCCTGCCACATTCACAATGGAGGACCTTCTCACAGTGACACCTGAGGCCCTCCAAGTGGCCAGCTTCTGGTCAAAGGAAATTTAGTATAATGCCAAGTTTTTAGCTTCGTTTGTGGTTTTTCTATAATTCTTTCTCAATTCGCTTCTGACCCGATAAATAACCTGGTCTAGAGGAGTAGCTATTCTACTCTTAATAAGGAATTCTAGAATTAATGTTAACAGTGAAGAAAACATCAAGTGCCTTGAATTCCTATTTTTAAATTTGGAAGTTATGCTGCATAGCAATCCCTTGCATGTGTCGGCTTGCATATTTTGGCTGAACATGGCGTCTGGTTCGAAGGTTTTGTTCCTTCTTTTCGCTTTACAGAGATAATGTAAGTGCATCCATTTTGATTCCACTGCCCAGAAGTTGGATTTATGGAGGTAGCTAGGAGTAGGTGTGCTACTTCTCCCGCACAATTCATCTTGCCGCCATGTTGAAAGAAGTGCTCCTGAAACAGGTTTCCAGCTCATCGTTGGAGACTGTCTTTGCGAAACTCTGGTTTTCAAGTTTACATTACAATAACATTAATTGTAGCTGCCAAGAACAGGATGTGATTGTAATTGCCCTTTAATATCAGCCACTTTTGGAGACGAGAAGCTGAGCTGAAGCAACCAAACTTGTCTAACTTGGCATTGCAAGTCAGGGCTTGCTTGCACCTGACTAATTACATTTCTGAATCCAGACTAAATTTTTGTATAGGAATATCACTATTATAATGTTTTGGGTTCACCAATTGCTCTCTACAGCTTCTCTATGAAACTCATTAGACACAATTGTTTCAAAGGACTCAAAAAAGGCTAAATATTTGTATATTCACTTCAACAAATCAAAACCAAAACATTACACTAGTAACCAAAATGTGTCATGCTTCACATTAATGGATGAAACAAACTAGCTCTTGCAAACATGTGATATCTTTGACCAAACAATGGATGAGAATATGATGATGTATTATGTATTATTATTATTACTAAACTCGAGAGCCATGGTAGCACAATGGGTTAAACCCTTGTGCCAGCTGAACTGCTGACCTGAAGGTAAGCAGTTTGAATCCATGAGCTCCTGCCTGTCAGCTCCAGCTTCCCATGTGGAGAAGCCTCTCACAGGATCTGGGCGTCTCCTGGGCAACTTCTCTGCAGACAGCCATTTCTATCACACTAGAAACGACTTGTAGTTTCTCAAGTCCCTTCTGACACATTTTTTTTTACTAAACTCAAGGTTATTTAGCTTTTCATTAAAAGATTCCAGAAAGTAGCACTGAATAGGCCCTTTTTGCGAGGTGTGGGATGGTTTATAATCACCCCAATAAATGGGCAAAAAAGCGGCCAAGTCTCATAAATGACACATCATCTATAAATACTGTATTAGCCTTTCTTTTTGAAGTTTTGCAAAACCAAAGCTTGAAGGGCAATGTTTTGATGAGAAACATTAAAAAGATGTCATGCGCTGGTTCAGGTTACAAAAGTCTACTTCAGGTAATTCCGACCATGTTTTTAATCCAATGGAACATCATGTATGGGTTTCATCTTGTTACCACTGGTAAATCACTGTTGAGCAGCTGATACCAGCATTGTTACGAAAAGATAGAGACATCTTGTCGAAGGCTTTCATGGCCAAAATCACTGAGGTGTTGTGTGGTGTTTGACCCATGTGTTCTAGCACCATTTTCTCCTGATATTTCGCCTGCATCTGTGGCTGGCATCTTCAGAGGATCTGATGGTAGTCAGGCCAAGTGGAGGATCTATACCTATGGAATATCCAGATGGGAGAAAGAACCACTGTATGTTAACCAACTGTAAAGGGCCCAATGAGCAAGCTTGATTTGCACATGTTGAGTGGGAACCACTCTTTAGCATGTGAGTAACCATGAAGATAGCATTGCCAATTAGTGAGGGGCATCTACCTAGAAGTAGCCTGGAATTCAAAGTTCCCTTTGAATTATTTGCTGCCTGGAGACATTTATTTATTTATTATTTACGACATTTATATGCCGCCCTTCTCATCCCGAAGGGGACTCACAGCGGCTTACAAGTAAAATGTAAATACAATATATTATATTATTACCACAGCACAATATTAATATTATATATTATTATATTGTACTATAACATTATACCATAATATTATTACTAATATTACATTTGATATAAAATATATAATTATATTATCATATTATTATTAGTAGTATTATTATTATACTGTATTACATTATAATATTATCAATATTATGTGTATATATATTATATTATATTATATTATATTATATTATATTATATTATATTATATTATATTTATTATAAGCACAGTGCAGGAGACAAGATGGAACTGCCTTCCTGGCCCCTCTCTTCACTCTTCACCTTTGTCCGGGTGGCATTCATTAGTTATTGTCTTGATTCTGGTGTTTTTCAATACTGACTCTTTCTCTCACCCTGGATATTCCACAGGTATATGTACTTCGCTTGCTTGACTACCATCACATCCTCTGAAGATGACAGCTGCCACAGATGCATGTGAAATGTCAGGAGAAAATGCAGCTAGAACACAGCCATGCAGTCAGTGAACCACACAACACCCCTGTGTAGTTGTAGAGATCTTACAATCAGATACAATTCAAAATATCGAGAGAGAAAACATTACAGAAGATCAAGTTCTTCCACTAACCATCATCAAGGCTAGTGTCTTGCATGTATATATAATAAATACACACAGACAGACACACATAGGGAAAGTACAGGAAGCTAGTGTGGGATAGTAAATGCTTTCGTAGAGAAAGCATTGGCCACAATTATGTAATTTTGGACAACGGCCCAGAGAGAAGGAAAGCAAGCAAGCTAGCTGCAGACCCTGCAGGCCTGGCACTTATCCAGACAGGAAGAGTAACAAGTGACTGGAATTTACATCAGCCCTTTGGAGGCCAAACACGCATTGGAATTGAACACATTCAAAAGATCAGCAGCTTCAGGTTTCTTGGCTTTTCGGATGAAGTGCCATAAGCTTGCCTAAACATAAAATGCTAAGGAAGGCTCCCAAGCAAATATTTTGCAGGATGTGCATGGCATCAACAATGTGCACCTTGAGAAAAGATTGTCTGCGCATTCTTTTGAAGAAGCGCCCTTTTGACGTTAAGATCCAGATTGTGTGAGCCAATGCTGCTTCCTAACACAAAAAACCCTAAAAGTCCCCTATCACTTTTCTGACTTTCGCTTTTGCAAAGGATTTTCTCAGATGGCGTGAACTCAAGAGTCCGAGTGTTATTACTGCCAGGCTCTGGTCAACAGCATGGAATAGTTACCAGGCATCAATTTCTGGTTGCCACTGGCAACGGGGAAGTTGAGTGCCCTTATGGAAGGAGATGGAAGGGGCTAGCTCAGGCTCCTTCCCCTAGCACACAAAGAGAAAGCGAGGCTTACGTGATGTTTCCCATCTGACTCGAAGAGGCAAAAGATTACATGAGCACAAGATAAAACTGGCACAAATCTCGAAGATATCTCTTGTCAGCCTCTGCAACATTTTCAGACACCTCCAAAGCATTTTTCCATAGGCAAGAGGGAAGGATGCCCCATTAGGTTTCTGCTACTGTAAGCTAGAGAGATCTTACTCTTTCTATATATTTTCCACTCTGCAACCTCGTCCCTGAAGCCAATGCCTTTCAGATAAGCTGAGCTACAGCTCTCAACCTTTGTGAGAAACAGAGGGTTCAGCTTCTCGTGTGCAAGTGATAATCTGCAAACTGAATGTTAGACTATATCAGAATCTGATGCCACAAATTCTGAATTGACTCTACAATTTTGACTATATTTGGAAGGCATCAGGCCAGGAAGGCTGATAAGGTTTCCCTCTCAGGATCGTGCTCAGGAGAGAGAAAAAATACAGCACTAAGCCTTGAAAATGATTGAGACTTGTAAACCAGTATTTGGGTTGCTTTGAATTTTCCAGGCTATATGGCCATACTCCATACTGACATTTCTTCCACACCTCTCCTGACGTTTCGCCCACATCTATAGCAGGAACCACCAAACGCAGCATTGCCGAAACACGAATCAAGGAACATGAAAGGCACTGCATACTAATTCAACCAGAGAAGTCAGCCATAGCAGAGCACCTGATGAACCAACCTGGACACAGCATATTATTATTTGAGATCACAGAAATGCTAGACCACTCTCACAACCAGCATGTCAGACTACCCAGAGAAGCCACAAGGATGTGGACAATGTCAACAGAAAAGAGGAAATCATGAAAATGAACAAAATCTGGCTCCCCGTTTTAGAAAACTCTAAAACCAGGAGAAACAAATAAAGAGAAACACTAAAAAAAACTTTAAAAAACCCCAAAAAACCCAGGGAATTCCAGACATGAAACAATCAGGACCAGCTAACACCTCCCAACAAAGGATCCCCCAAGCAGGAATCAGCCAGGCCTTGAAGCTGCAAGGCTTTGCAATGCTAATCAAGGAGATTAATTGCAACATTCACACTTGCCTCTAACAGATGAGTTCTTTCTCCCACCCTAAACAATCCACAGATATATAAATCTCACTTGCCTGGTTGCAACAGACCTCACAACCTCTAAGGATGCTTGCCATAGATGTGGGTGAAACATCAGGAGTGAATGCTTCTGGAACATGGCCATGCAGCCCAGAAAACTCACTGCAACCCAGAGATTCTGGCCATGAAAGCCTTCAACAAAACCAGTATTTCCCTGTCACTCATGGTACTTAGAATTTCCACCCAGTGGTTAGGCCGGGGTTTTTTTGCAAATGGATGATACCCCTAAATAAGTAATGAGTCATGCACTGAAGGAGGAAGCCAGGAAACATGCAAAACTAAGCATACCACTCCCCAGATTTCACATACTTATTGAGGTTTTAAACATGTTTAAGCATTCACTGGACTAATGCAAAGGCAATATTGCACTGGGATCCTGGCAGAATGGGTCGGATTTCTTAGCTCTGGGAGTGAGCAATAATAAATGTGTTCAAACAAAATTCTATCCTCTTCAATACGTATTGCCAAAACAATCACCTGCAAGCAATGCTGTGACACAGAATCCCACAAGCTGCTTCCTTAAACCCATGTCTGGGTGAAGAGTTTGTTATACTGTGAGCTCTGCTCAAAGAAGCTCAAAGCATTACTACCAACACTACTAATAATGTTCAGAACTTTGTCATTCTCATTCACCTTCAGACTCAGTTTCCTGAGAAAAGGAAGACATTCCTGAGATCATCCCATCCCATCCTCCTCCATTTCTGCATCAGCAAACCAACCACAGATGGAATAGAGTAGGCCATGAGCGTTTCACCCCAAAAAAGAGCCAAACAAAGGCCTTACAAATGTGGAGAGGCAAAGCTGGGACTAGAGGGACAGTGCCGGGCCTTACCTAGACTGGTTGGTTTGATCAGTTCATCCAACAAATCGTAAAAGGGCAACCTCTGGAGCTTGATATCCGGATGGACAGGATGGAGGGCTGAGGTAAGGTGAGGCAGTTCCAGTTCGTGTTTAGGTCCCAGCAGAGAAACAGGGAGCAGGGGTGAAGTGGCGGGGTGGCCGTCATAGGTGAGCTGAGGAATGGCAGAGGGTGACAAGGTGGCCGAGAGGGAGCCTGAGTGGAGGCTGGGGATGGACAGATCCACTGGAGTCATGATCTTTTGCGGGAACCGCCGCCGGTAGAGTTCTTTGATCTTCATTTGGACGGCAGGGCTGCAGCCAGCCTTGAGCAAATGCAGGGCTTTTGTGAGGAGTTCGTGTTTGCGACCGTGCTTGTTCCTTCCCGCGTATCCCAAGAGCACTTGCAGTTCCGACACCCGGAGGCTCATCACCATTTGCTTGGGGACAAACGGGAAGACAAGACAAAACCAAAACGTTATTTTGCACACTGCATTGAGAGTACAGGGTAATTTACAGAGCAACATTGGAAATATATGGTGAAGGCCACCAAGTAAGGCAGTTAACAGGGAGAAGAATCAAACCAGAATTATGAGCCAAATCCTTTTGGGATCACTATCTTCCATGTGTGCCCCCTTGCGTGCTTCAATCAGCAAATGATAAACTCTTCTAAAACCTTTCAACTTATGAAGTTAGGCATGCCCCCACCCCCTAGTGATTGCACGGACACTGCAGAACACTTGACCACCATTTGCACTTTTAAGAAGACACCTTTAATAGACAATGAGTTTTAATAGCCCAACTGTGGTCTGTAAGGGGTTTTCAGCTCTTGTGATTAATTCACAAAAACTGTTCTAATTGCTATTATCAGAATTTAAATACTGCAGACTTTCCCAGTCTTGGCTTCACTCCCAGAGAAAGGAAAGTGGGATATAGGCTAAATAAAAGCTTAAGGAAGGGAAAGTGTTTACTTAAAAATACTCCGAAACCCCTTCAAATGTTTCCTCTACAAACTTCACTAACTGAAAAGAGGGCAAGAACTGACATTCCTTCCCAAACTGCTTGCACAGAAATCTTTCCAGTGCAATGCTTTTGTTCCAACATCCATTCATCTCATCGGAGAAAGTCCTGGGCACTGTCCAAGGGTTTAAAAGACACAGCCTACTACAAGCACATGGGGGAATAATATACACATACAATCTGAATCACAGGGTTAGTTCATTTATTCAAAACCTGAACAAAATTGATATTTTGCTGTCTATAAGGAGACTAGATTGAGACCATTGTACTTGTGTCAATCCATGAGGAGCTAAGTCTTATTAGAAAGAACAATAATCCTTGAGAAGGTGTCTTCTCCTCCCCCTTGTCGCAGCAGCTCCTTCTGGGCACAATTCGAGGTGTTGGTTTTAACCTTTAACCTGAACAGTTCAGGCTCAACCTATCTATTCAACCATATCTCCCAACACAAGCCTGTCCAAGCACTACAATCTGCTGAAGAGGCCCTACTCTCAGTCCCACCCCCATCTCAGGTATGCCTGATGGGAACAATAGGGCCTTCTCAATGGTAGCTCCTCAGCTCTAGCACTCCCTCCCTAAGGACATCAAAATGGCTCCCTCCCTGTTATCCTTCAGAAAGCAAATAAAAACCCTTTCTGTGGAAGGAAGCCTTTGGGGAAGACAACTGACAGATTGTGTTAAATGGCAATGGACTTTGATCATGGCAATGAGATGGAGCTGGTTTAAAATATTGTTGATTTTAATACTGTTTTACCATGTATTGTCATTTTAATTTTTATAAATGTGATGGCTTGTAATTTGAGTTTATACTGTCTTATGTTTGAACGGCATTGAATTGTTGCCAACTGTTAGCCGCTCTGAGTCTCTCTACGAGGAAAAGAGGGTGGGATAAAAAAAAAGTAAATAAATAAATAAAATTGGGAAGGCAATAGGAAAAGAGGAAGGCCACCTTTCAGGTGGATACATTTAGTCACGGAAGCCATGGCTGCCCTGGGTTTGCAAGGCCTGAGAAGGGCTCTTTATGAGACAGGAGTTTGGAGGTCCCACATTCATAGATAGGGTCACCCTAAGCCAAAGCTGACTTGATGGCAATTTAAAAAAAGAACACTTTCTAAGAGGAATACTTTTCCCATTAGTACATTTTACTCTGCTTTAAGGTTGTGTGTTAAATCACATCTGGGTAAATATCTGAGCTGTCAAAATACAGAGTCACTACAGGAGAGAGGAGCACCAACGCAATGCTTAAGTGTTCCCTTCCTTCTCAAGTGCGGTGACTCAAAGTCATCTTGCAGCATTCTTCATGGCACTGACTCCCTTTCCGGAAAAGCCATGAGAGGCAAGTGCAAGAAAGATATGAGCAGATGAGCAGTGGCAGATAGGAAGATGCGCCAGAGGGTTATTTATCACTACTGCCCAGAGAAAAATGGCTTGCCCTCTCCCCTCTTTAGAACTTTATATTTCCTGCTGCTTTAAGAAAGCTCAGACTATTCAATGGGAAGGGCGGGCATGCTTTTGGCTGACAAGAGTAATGTTTGAGGACACTGATTGACTGCAATCCCCAAAGTTGAGAGACTATTGTCTATTAACTTTTGTATCTATTAATGATGAAGCTCTTCTTCGATCCTTCAGTGCAGTTGGTATGGAAGGGAGGCCTTTCATCTGCTATTAAACATGAGTGGGATTTGGTCGGCAAAACATCCCTGGATTCTGCAGGGATCTGTTTATTTCCATCCCTTAAAAAGGTTATCCAATTTCTATAAAATCTGGGATACTGTGCAGTTTCACTGAAATAATACATACACAATAGAGTATGGTAGTAAAGGAAAAGGTTTCCCCTTGACATTAAGTCTAATCATGTCCGACTTTGAAGGATGGTACTCATTTCTATTTCTAAGTCGAAGATCCGACCTTGTCCACAGACACCTCTAAGCTCATGTGTCCGGTATGACTGCATGGAGCGCTGTTACCTTCCCACCGGAGAGGTACCTATTGATCTACTCACATTTGCATGTTTTCGAACTGCTAGGTTGGCAGAAGCTGGGACTAACAGCGGGAGCTCACCCTTTCGGTCAGCAAGTTCAGCAACTCAGCAGTTTAACCTGCTGCGCCACAAGGAAACCCGATAGAGTATGATGTCATAGGCAAAATATCCTTCATTTTAAGGAGGATGCTTGTAATGAATGGCTACTTCTTTCTGATGTGTGCAGAATAAGGGAAGAAAAATATGGGATAAGAAACAGATTCCCCCTCCCCCAAAGGACACAGCATCTTCCGCCTGCGAAACCTCGACATGTGCCCAAAATCACAGAAACTGGAACAGAACAGGCCAATCTGTTCAGTGCTTGGACTGGTTGCCTCCTAAGAAAACTCCTGGGAGAGACAGCAAACCCTGCAGCAGACTCACGCTGATCTTTCGCCTCTTCTTCATTCATTACTATCATTACTTACCTTTCCTATATCGACGGAGTGGGATAGAGCCAATACAATCACCTAAATTGTATCCTACACTAGTCAGGCCTCATCTGGAATACTGTATCCAGTTCTAGGTGTCTTACTTAAGGAGGCTGAATCATCATGTTGTAGGACGGATATATTTGACACAATTCAATTTTTGCTGGAACAAGAAATTTCTTTCCAACCTCACGTTGCAATCAGAAATCATTATGAGGAACAAGGAACCAGTTAGGGTTATGTGAAAAAAGGTTTAACTGAAAGACCATGTATTTTCAATCTTCTCAGATTTTCAGAAAATTAAAAACTGGGGTGGGGGGGTGTCAGCTGCTCGCCTCAAGGAACACCGCTATCTTTTGTCACAACATATCTGGTACAGCTAATGCTTTCAACCTGATTCCAAATTAAAGGGCCACCCAGGTTCTAGCAATACTACAAACTGCAATTTTGTATTCAACACTTTCCTACTCAATTCAATGATGCCTGCCTGCATTCAACAGCAAGTGAAAGATGTTGGAGATTTACTGTCACAAGTCTATTGTTATTTTGGGTATTAAATAAGCTTGCAGGATATAATAGCCATCTTTATTTTAGTCACAGAAAAATCAAGCCCTCTTTGCCAATGTTTTCAATCTTTATTACTCCTGCTATACTTAGCCATGCAGATGGGAGCTGTTTGACTCCGCTATTTGTTATCTTCATTTAAAGACATGTAATCGGAGAAAAATAATGAGCGTTAGACACCATCCCAGTGTATACTATGAAGTGTCTGCGGGGAGAATAAAAATAGCTTGCCAGAATCATGACAATAGGCAATTCAATGCTCCCCAAATGGGAATTCCAGGGAATTGTGAGAAAAATCTCAGATTAATTCTCCATTTGCAATTCTGGAAACAATCTTTGTCCCAATTTCCCTTTAATCAACTCAGAGAATAATGTTTCTGTGGTAACCATCACTAGTGTATAGTACAGTGGTTCCCAACCTGTGGTCTGTGGACCACCAGTGATCTGCAAGAATTAAAATATGGTCCGTGGCCTCACCATTACTACACCGTTGCAATAAGAGTGAGTGGTCTCACAAAACCCTCTTATTAAATATGGTTTACTACAGGAAGGCATATGTTCTATATCAGAAACTAGAGCTGATGTGGTCTATCCAATACAATTTTCTGAATTGGCACCCCAATTAACCAAACCGAATCGAACATTGACCAAAAAACTGATTAGCACCCCTTTTGGTACTAATGTTGGAGAGTGGTCCCTGGTCAAAAAAAAAACCAATGGTATAGTAGGTCAACGAGAAATTTAGAAAGTAGTGTATCAAAGGTTATTCCCAAATTACCAAATTCTAACAAAACAGGTTAATTGAGCACTTGAAGATGTCAAAGCTTGTATTTGGTTTTATCACATCTACTTTGCACAGAACGCTAGCTGAAATAAGAAATGACCCCTACTAGGAGATTAAGATCATCTGGGGAGGCCCTGCTTTTGGTCCCACCTTCCTCGCAAGAGCAGCTTGTGGGGACAAGAGACAGGGCCTTCTCAGTGGTGGCCCATCAGTTGTGGAACTCCCTCCCTAGTGATAGCAGAGCAGCTCCCTGCCTCCTAGTGTTTAGAAAGAGAGTTAAAAACCTTGCTCTGGGAGCAGGCCTTTGAAAAATGGAGCAATGAAGGTATGTTATTGTGGAAATATGCAATTTGACATTGGAATGGTCTTAAGACTCTGACTCTGGATGGTGTGATTCATTGAAATGTATTTTAAGTATGTGTACAATGTCTTAATTTTTAACTTATGACTTTAGCTGATATTGTATTTTTAAGGCACTGTGGAGGTGCAATTGTAAGCCGCCTTGAGTTCCCCTCAGGGTAGAGGAAGACAGGATATAAATAAGGCAAATAAATAAACAAATAAATAAATAATGCTTTGTCTAACATATTAACTTCAACGGAGGGAGCCTTAACGGCTGATCTG